GCGGCGGCATCAAGCTGCAACGCGCCCACTGCGCCGGCCTCCACGAGCTCCCGACCCGACCCTGAGCCGGGCAAAGAAAAGAATGACTTGGGCCGCGGGAGCGGGAACAGTCCACACTGCCCACGGGAGGCACCACGACGATCCATCCGAGCAGCAGCAGCACCACTGCGAGGCGGAAGGCCAGGCGCGAGGGGGAGGGTCCCGATGGTCCTACTCGTTGTCCTTGCCGCCCTTCTTGCGGCCGCTCTCCTCGGCGTAGAGGCGCTGCTGCTTCAGCGCGAAGGCCTCCGTCTTCTGCTCGTCGGCGATGAAGCGGGCGAAGTCCCCGACCGCCAGGGTGGCGCCGCTGTCGAGGCGGCTGTGGATCATCATCTCGAAGCCCCGGAAGTCGGGGTTCTTGGGCGACTTCTTGACCGCGCGCTCGATGTAGAGTACCCGCCGAGCCAGCATTTCCATCGCAGCGCTCTGGAAGATCTCGAGCTGGTCGAAGCAGAGCGCGCGGTGCAGCACAGACACGAGGCTCTGGTGATGCTTGGCGACGCCAGCCTCGGCACTGACCCCAGACGACCTGGCCCACGCGGAGTGGTAGCTCTCCAGGGATTCTCCAGAGGCACGAATCCCGCGCAGCAGCTCGAGGGAGGCCGAGGGCCCGCGGAAGGGCCAGTCCTTGGCCTCGGCGGTCGTCATCCCGTCGCGGCCCGTCTTCACCGGAAGCTCCGAGAGTAAGGCCAGGCCCTCCTTGAAGTCGAGGTAGCGGGCGTCCTGCGCGTCGCGGCTGATCGCGAGCGCGCGCGGGTCGCGGCCGGCGCCCGTCTGCTTCTCCCCCTTCCAGGGCGCCAGGTCGCCGGGCAGCAGCCGCTCGACCACCGCACACCTCTGGTCGTCCATCCTGGCGAGCCCGGTGTGACCCCGGGAGACGAAGCGCCCGGGGTCGGAGGTGACGGCGACCTCGACGGCGGCGCCGAAGTCTTCGTCGGCGGGGTCGGCCACGTACCAGACGGCCGCCGACGCAGCAGCCGCAACCGCAGCTCCACCCAAGATGCTCGCCAGCGCGTGGGCCTGCTGCATCAGGCTCGCCAGCTCGTCCTCCCCCAGCGGGTCGAACCCGAAGAAGTTCCCCCGCAGGCGAGGCGGGATCGGGCACCCGCGCACCAGCGGCACGATGCGCGAGGTGGAGAGGTTCCGCACCTGGACATCGAGGGTTGGAGTCGCATACACCCACCGCCCATCGTCCCCGATCTTCACCAGGAGGATGCGGTGGTGCCACCGAAAGTTCGGGTCGTCGTCGAACGCCTCGGCGATCTGCTGCTGCTCGATATCGAGGGCCGGAGGGACGGCAGCCATCAGGGGCGACGCCGCGGCACCCAAACGTCAGGCTCGTCGACAACAGCCAGGCCAGCACCCCCAGCGTCGCGGTCGCCCAGCGCCAACGGCGGCGGCGACGCGCGGCCCGCGGCTAGGGCGGAGGGCGTGGCGGGACCCCCAAACGAGGCCCCGGCCGTCGCCGTGCCGACCCAGCGGCCGTGGCACCACAGGCGGCAGGCCGCCGCGAGACCCAAGGCAAGGGTCGCAGCAGCCAGAGCGGCGGCCCACACCGCCGAAGTAGCCCAGCCGCAGGTGCAGGCGGGGCAGGCGACCGCCGCCGGGCAGGCGGCCTGCGAGGGGCAGCTCGCCTCTGGGCAGATCGCCGCCGGGCAGACGCAGGCCGGGCAAGGCGCCGCCGGCGGGCAGGTCAGCGTGGGGCAGGCGGGCGCCGGGCAGGCGCAGGGCGGGCAGTCGAGGACGTGCCCGCCGGAGCCCTGCCCCGCGGCCGCGGGCCCGGCCCACCAGCCGCCGGCGAGGCCACCGAGGAACGCCGCGATCGCGGCGGCAGGGGCGCCGAGCGGGCCGGGCCCTCCCATCCCAAGCCAGAAAAACTGCAGAGGACTCCGATGCGGACTGTGATAATGTGGCACACTTTCAATCATCATCATCATCATCATCATCATCATCATCATCATCATCATCATCATCATCATCATCATCATCATCATCGGCAGCATTATCATCAACACCATTCGCAGCAGCATTATCCTGGTCGGTCTTCGGCACCGCTTTCATCTCTTGAGTCGCACAACCAACTCTAACCAAGTGGGCCCCTGCAGATTTCTGTAGCAAGCTGTTTTCATAACTTAAGCTGCTGGCGTTCCGAACCTTCCACTGATCACCGCGCCCACCAGCTATGCTGCAGCCGCGTTGCTGATAATTCTTCCTGAAGCTGAGTGCGGCGAAAAGGTTGGCCGTCTAGCGCTTGTGCTTCTCCTTCTCCTGTCGGGTCAAACGCGCTCGGGTGTTCGACCGAATGTCATCCCGGTAACGGCTGCCCCCGGGTCTTCTGCAGCCCCCCCTTGGCCTGTCGCCACCTCGTTCGCGCCGTCGGGAATGTCGACAGCCGCGTGGCACTTGCCCCCGCGCATGAGGCAATTTGTACCACCCACTGGCACAAATTGTCCGTGATCTCCCACAGCTCCTGCCAGTTGGTTTTGATTGCCCTCATTTACATCCTCCTCCTGCACCTCCCGGGCAATCCTCGGCGCTCGGATTGCCCTTGTTTCCCGCGTGGCCGTCCGGGTTCGGGTTGCCCCCGTTTCTTCCCGCGGCCACTGGGAAGCCCTTGCTGCGATGGTAATCACAACATCCTCCACTCTTTCCTCCACAGCTCCCTGTTGGCGCCATGTTCTGCGAGGCCACCGTAACCCCCGCACTTGCAGCATTGGAGTCCCGCCGCCCTAACCTTTGCCAATCTCGTTCGCGTCTCCAACCCTTGCAATATTCACATCGACGTTCCAATCTCCGTTGGAAGGCCAACAGTTGCCGCGGTCACCATAGCAACCCTCAGGGGCCCAGTCGGCGTATCCCTTTGCGTCGGCGCCATTGGTAATGAGATCAGTATACATGGACTCCTTGTGTGTAAATATATGTGTATATATATATATATGTATTCGTCTAAACTCTGAAGCGCAGGTGGGCTCTTAAAGAGATCATGCTGCCAGTTACCAATCCAGCCTCCAGCATGACTCATGATGCTCCTTAATGCAGTAACCCAGGATGCGAAACCCAAGACGCACGTAGTCCTCCCTAGACTTCCTGAAAATTTCGCCGAACGGGCCCCGTTGCTCAAGAGCGGCAGATATGTGATTGGCCGTCCACCTTGTGGGATAAAGTGTGCCTGGCAACTGCCCGAGGCAACCTGGAAATTTTCAGGCAAGGCATGAGTCAATCTCCCTTCGCACAATCCAGTAAGCCTCCCTCTGGGCTCGACTCCTTCCAGATTGTCGCTAAACACATACCATAAGTCGTCAATTAACTTCCCCAGGTCCTCATCGTTGATCTCGTACTGGCCCTTTGCGCCTTTATCGTTCGTCTGTGCTTGGACAGCCTTCTGATATTCTCCGAACGCTACGCATCCATTCGTGATGCGTATGAGGTCACCCTCGCCTTCCTCCTTTAAACCACCGCCCATGGTATCAAGATTACTGAGCTTGTCCAGCGCTGTTCGGTAAGCATGGCTGACTCGGGCCTGTGCATGTAGCAACTTTTCGCTCCACGCTCGCAACTGCATGCGGCTGCGGTTGAATACCTTGAGTTGCTGCACTACTTTACATTCGCTCACCGGTTTGGGAGGGGGTCACCCGCCCTTGTCCTTTATTTCAATGGCCTCGCCGATCTTGGTGACGCTCTCGACCATCGATTTGATGATGCCGGAATGCGCTTCCATGCACTGAACTCTGGTAGCAAGACTCTTGGCTTCCTCCTCGATTTTCTTGATTTGGCTGGTCAAGTTTAGTAGCAGGCTGCTGTTCTTGGTAACTATTGACTACATGCTCCTTAATTCCCGCTGAGTATCTTGGCATAGCATCTAAACTGTCCGATGTCCGAGCAACACACATCATACCCTCATGGTTAAACTCCGCCGTACATGCAGCCTTGACGTAAAGGCAGTTGCCGACCATAGCCGGCTTCGCACAGCTCGGTAAACCTCAAAGGGCTCTACTTACGCCAAGCCTCTCGATCTTGAGGTGACGTCAATAATTCCGGCGGATCTCTAGGCCCCACGCGAAGCGGTCCAGCGGCTGCCGCGGCTGCCGCGGCTGCCGCCATCCCTTGGGACGAGCTGCAAGCTTAAACCGCTCCGCTATCATGCAAACCCCGCAGAAGCTACACGGTAACAATAAATCTGGTGAGAGAACTTTGAACAGTGTCACAAGACGTCATAACTAGTACTTGAGCCAGATGTGCAATACCGAATGTTGTCGCTTGCGCCTGCCAAGCCGGGAGTTCCTCCAGGCACGGGGGTGAACATTTGAGCGCACCCTCCCGTCCTCCTCCTCCTCCTCCTCCTCCTTCTCTTCCTCCTCCTTCTCTTCCTCCTCCTCCTCCTCCTCCCTCCGTCCCTCCCTCCATCCCTCCCTCCATCCCTCACTCATCCTCCTCCATCGCTTCTCCCCCTCCCCCTTCCCATCTTCCTCTCCGCCACCCTCCTCCACCACCTTTTCCTCCATCCCCTTCCTGATCATCCTGAGAAGCGAGGGCGATGAGGAGGAGCGAGGAGGAGGACGGCGGGGAGGGATGGAATGGTCCATCCCTCCTCCCTTCCCTCTCTCCCTCTCTCCCCCCATTTTGGTCAGGAGGTTCCCGGGAGTCCCCAGAAATCTCCAGGAGACTCTTTGGAACTCTCTGGAGGTCCTTGGAGGCCCTGGTCCCTGGCGGCATCCAGAGCCCCCTGAAAGCCCAGACATAATTAACATCGTCCAACATCCTCCTTCCCATCCTCCCTTTCGTCCTTCTCCTCACTCCTTCCTCCGCTTCCTGCTCATCCTCATCGGCGACGTCGACGACGACCTTGACAAGGAATACGACAACCTCGACGACGACGACGTTCTTGACGACGGCGAACATGACAACGACGGCGGCGGCGACGAGGACGACTACGACGACGACGACGACGACCCGATGGGTGCCTGCAGATCGTGCACGCCGAGCTCCCGCCGCATGTACAGTCCGAGGTCCTGATTGGGAACGGCCGCCCCCTCGCAGCGGCGCGAACGCAGGACGCTGATGATACGAGGCGGGGATGTGTCCATATACGTACACCGGTGGGGAACCGCCGTCGTGGAACCCCAGCGGGCGGTGGATATGGACACAGTTGGGTCCCAGGGGCCCCGACTATATATGGTCCTGGAGTCCAGGGCTTGCCCCCCCCCCCCCAATGCTGATGCCAGTGAACCCCCCCCCCCCCCCCGCGCGATGGACCCCCCGCCCCCCCCTGTGGGCGTGGCGTGGTGCTGCGCTGCGGTGCCCCCCTCCCCCCTGTGGATGTCCCCCCCCTGTGGATGTGGTGTGGCGCTGTGGTGGTTCAGAGGTGGGCGTGGCGTGGTGCTGCGCTGCGGTGCCCCCCTCCCCCCCCCTGTGGATGTGGTGTGGTGCTGTGGTGGTTCAGAGGTCGTCGTCGTCGTCGTCGTCGTCGTCATCGTCGTCGTCGTCGTCCTCGTCGTCCTCGTCGTCATCGTCGTCGTCGTCATCGTCGTCGTCGCCGTCGTCATCGTCGTCATCGTCGTCGCCGCCGCCGCCGCCAGCGTCGTCGCCGCCGCAGCCGTCGTCGTCGTCGTCGTCGTCGCCGTCGTCGTAGTCGTCGCCGTCGTCGTCGTCGTGGTCGTCGTCATCGTCGTCGTCGCCGTCGTCATCGTCGTCATCGTCGTCGTCGTCGCCGCCGCCGCCGCCGGCGTCGTCGCCGCCGCAGCCGTCGTCGTCGTCGTCGCCGTCGTCGTCGTCGTCGCCGTTGCCGTCGCCGTCGCCGTCGCCGTCGCCGTCGCCGTCTTCGTCGTCGTCGTCGTCGTCGTCGTCTCTGGGACCATACCATCTGGGGAGGGGGGGGGCCCGAGGAATCCTGGGACCATACCATCTGGGGGGGGGCCCGTGGGCCCGCCCGGAGCCCGGGATCATATATCCATGTCCACCGCCTGCCGAGGTCCCCGAAGATCGATCCCCACGAGGTGGGTATGGATAAATCCCCACCTCGGAGTCGAGGCCGCCGCTGTCGACGTCGCCGTCGCCGTCGTTACCGCCGGCGTCGCCGTCATCGGCGTCGCTATCGGCGTCGGCGTCGCCTTCGTCGGCGCTGGCGTCGCCGCCGTCGGCATCGTCACAGTCCGCGTCGGCGTTGGAGCCAGCGTCACCGTCGACGTTCTGTTCCGTTCTGGCGCGGTTCCTCATCAATTCTTGGTGCAGCGCCCATCTTGCTCCCCGTCACGGCGACATCCTCGTCCTTCTCGTACTCCTCCGCAGCCTCTTCCTCGTTGTCCTCCGTCGCGTCAAACTTCTATCCCTCCTTCTCCTCATCCTCGTCCTCAAGATCATAACCATGATCCCTCTCCGTTTCGTATTTTTATGCGAGCGTTGGGCGCTGAGCCCAAAGAGCCCGCTGTTTCCATCCCATTCCGGTAAGAAAATAACACCTCCCTCTCGCACCACCAGACGTGTTGGTAGGGCGGGCCAGGCGTTTCGCCTGAGACTTCGCAGCCATCTGAAACCCTATACCTTGATATTGTATCATCTTCACGGAGTAGGGCGGGTCGTTTTCAACATGTGGATCTCTCCTTCGCGCAGCACACATTTGTCGCAAAAGTTTGCTACAGCTTCAAAGATGGAGGGCGATCCTTTTCAGAATGCGGCTCCCGCCTTAGCGCCGCGCGCAGTCGTCTGAACAAATTGGGCTGACTTCGAAGATGGAGAGCGGGTCTGTTTGAGAAGCTGGCCATCGCTTTGGCAACGCGTACGTTCGCATTTCAAGCTTGCAAGACTTTAAAGATAGAGGGTTGGTCCTTCTCAACATGTGGTTCTCGCCGCAGCGCCCCGCACATTCGCCTTCAAAATTTGCTACAGCTTCAAGGATAGACGGAGAGCCGTTTTGAAACCTTGCTCTCGCTGTAGGGCCACGCACATTCGATGTACAATGCTGCAACGGTTTCAAGGATGGACAACGGGTCGGTTTCAACATGTGGCCTTCGCCTCGGCGCCCCGAACATTTGTCTCAAACGTTTGCCGCAATGTTCCAGATTCGTATGGTTAGCGTCCCGACTTTTGACACGGCCCAGGATTGCCACGGCGCAGCAGTACGGTTGATGCGCGGTGTTGGAGTCACAAGAATGGCGTTTTGGTCAGAGGATTGCCAGGTCACAACAGTCACACTGATTCGCGGCGTTGAAGTCCCAAGATAGTGCTTTGGCACGATTGAGGACTCTCATACTGCCTTCTTCCAATGGGGCACGTCCCGCAATGAATGAATGTTTGCTGGAACACGTGAAGAAGAAACTTGGATGGAGGGTTTATTTCAATATCGTGGGCCCGCCTTGGTTTTACGCTGGTCCCCCTCCTCCTCCTCCTCCTCCTCCTCCTCCTCCTCCTCCTCCTCTTCCGCCTCGTCTCCCTCCACCCCCGCTCAACCCATTACTCCACTGTCCCCGTCCCCATACACCCTCTGTCACCTTCCCCTCCCTCGCTTCCCTCTCCTGCTCTCGAACCCCCTTTCCTACTGTCGCCGCATCCGGACGAACGGGCCCGTCCGCTGCGGTGGAACAGGACGGGAATGCAAGAGCGATTGACGCCAATGTCGAAACAATACCATGACAGTAATTCAAAACTCTGAGCGAGCGGGCGCAAGGAGAAGTCGCAAACACGATCCGACACAAGCAAGCGCAGCCCTAGACCAATCATAATTATGTTTCCAGCACGTGATTGAAGGGAACACTGCTGCAATCGACAAAAGGCGGCACGCCGTGCAAAAATACCCTACTCCCGCGTGCGTGGCATGACGAATGTGAGACCCTGCGCGGCAACCGTCAAGACCAATGGAGTTAGCGGGTTGGGCTTGATGGGTGGAAATCAGCATGGACATGTTAACCCAAACCAGTTGAAATATCATAAAATCGTGTCAGGGCTCAACCCATGGATTGGCATACCTGAATGATCGGCCGTCCTATGAAAAATGGTACATGCGGCTCGCCCGTGCCAATGCTGGCGCAAACATGTTCAGCCGTGAACAACGTCTGCCTGTGCAGCCTTTCTTGTGGCGGTAGGCATCCAGAGTTGTGGGCCGGTGCACGCGCAAGACTTCCCCCGCCCCATGCGCACCATCCCAACAACACCTCGGCGTTGCTGGCGACGTTTGCTTGAAAAGTAGGAGCGGTCCCCCTCTTACTGCAACCCTTCCCCCGGTCCTCCTCTTCTCTTCCTCACCCTCCCCCTTTTCCTTCTCACCTCCTCCTTCCCCCCAAACGAAGCCCCCTCAGAGTCGCAAAGAAAAGCAGATCTCAGGACTCCCCAGCGACCACTCCAACCCACCTCATGGTCTGCCCTCCTTTGCCCGTATCCTCCGCGCACCCGATCAAGCTCATCCTCCTTCTCCTCGTGACCCGCCTCCTTCTCCTTCTCAGCCTCCTCTCACTCCTCCAAACAGTCCTCCTCCTCCTCCTCCTCCTCCTCCTCCTCCTCCTCCTCCTCCTCCTCCTCCTCCTCCTCTTCGTACCCCTCCTCCTCCTAACTTAGCAGAATCCGTTCCAAGACTGTCCCCAACACCTTTGGGGGTCCATCCTGACAAGTTTTCCATCCAGGGTGGCTTTCGGACGGCCCCCGGGCCCAGAACACTTGCCCATCCCAAGGGCCGAAAATTGCGAAAACCCTCCTCGAACCGCGAGATTCGACACTTGCTCCTCTCTCTTCCCCCGTCCCTAAGAGAGAACGTTCGGTGGGTACAACATTGGGGAACCGTTGACCTGGAATCGGCAATACATGACCAATAGATCGGCGACACGCCCCCGATGGCGAAACAGCACGCCCCTGGGCAGGGTGTGGAACGGGCCTCTGGCGGCCGTTCGGGACAAACCCCTGGAACGGTGTCGGCGAGGCGCAGCTGCTGCCCTGGAGAGCCATCGAAAACCAACGAAAACGCCACCAAACCTCTAACCTCGAGCCTATCTCTCCCGAGCGCTGCGTCTCGACTATTCCCCCCCTGAGCCTATCCCCTCCCCAGCGTTGCCTCTGATCCTTCTCCTCTACATCCTCCTCCACTTCCTCCTCCTCCTCCTGCTCCTCCTCCTCCTCGTCCTCATTCTGAGTTTCTTCCCTCCACCTCCTCCACGCCCTCATGCCACTCCTCCTTTCTCCTCACCCCTCATCTCCCCTCGTCCTCTCCTCACGCCTGTCTCCACCTCCGTATTTCTCCTCCTCCTCCTCCTCCTCCTCCTGCGGTCCTCCTCCTCCTCCTCCTCCTCCTCCTCCTCCTCCTCCTCCTCCTCTTCCTTCTGCGGTCCTCCTCCTCGAACCCGGGCGGCGGCGGCGGCATCGGCGCCGGCGCCGTGCTGCTGGACGACGCCATGGCGCCGCGGATCAGGCCATGGGGGGAGGAGAGGAGAGCGAGAGGGAGAGGGAGAGGGACGCCCCCCCTCCGTCATCCCTCCCCCTCCCCCCCCTCATCCCCCTCCCTCCCTCCTCCTCCCCTCGCTGCAAAAAAAGAGGTGACGCAGGATTGTTGTCAGTTTTCGGCCTCCAGGGGCCCACACGTGGCCCTGGGACCGTCAACCAGAACGAGTCAGGATGAACAGAGGGTCCTGGGGAAGGGGTCTAGGCCTCGGGGGGCCAACGCTGTGAAGACGTCACAACGACGGTGTGCTGGGCTCCTCCCCTCCCCAAAACCCTCCTCCTCCTCCCCCTCCTCCTCCTCCTCCTCCTCCTCCTCCTTCTCTTCCTCCTCCTCGTGCTCCCCGTCCTCTTCCAGAGGTATAATCCCCGCAAGCGCCTCCCCCTCGATTTGGAGGGCAAGCTGCTGGTTTTAGCAAGACCGCTGGTCATATTCGGAGTCCTCCCCCTCCTCCTCACTCCTCCCTCCTCCTTCCTCCCTAACCCTCCTGCTTCTACGAACCCATCTTTTAGTATTCGCGCTAACTCCCGTGACCAGCCCCACCTCCCTCCCCCCCTTGGTCACGTCAGGCTTCTCGTTGGCGCCGCGTGGGAGTGAACCACTCTCAAGCACTCCGAGACAACGCTGGCGCGAATCGTGACGTAGCCGGCGAGCCCCCCTTCCCCCCCTCGGCCCCCTGGTCACGCCTGTTATCGCCAGGGGATAAGAAAAAATATCTAGCTTCACCTTCGCCTCCTCCTTCTCCTGTAAGAGATGGTGGGAGGATGGTATAAGGATTTCGACTGGGTTCCCCAGGGGGTTACAAGGATTCGCGAGATCCAAGTGGAAAGAACGAGAGGGAAGAGGCATGACAATGATGACACCACAGTATGTTTGCATGTCGCTTGCCTGAGGAATAGTTATTGCGATTGGTAGCGAATGAGGCAAACAGCCTAGGCTATTCCTATGACTTCCTCCACTTCGTGTACTTCCATGACTTCGTTGTGCTCCAGGTGACTTCAATGTACGACTTCTTCAAAAGATGCATCCCCGCACCACTCCCATATCATTCGGTGCGCTCATGTCGAGCCAAGTGCATACATGATGGAGCGATCGGAAATCATGCACAAACACAGAATCGGGTAGGATGAGTGGGTAATGCAGGGTAGGGAAGAACATGATTGAGCTTACGTGAAGGAGAGCTGAGTGGTCTAGAGTAGGAGTAGAGTAGGACTGCTGCGAACCGGCATCGAACGCGCCCACGCACCCCCAAGCAGAAAGCACCATTCCGTCGTATCCCTTTGTGTGATAGATCCTCTGCACTTTGTACCAAAGAGGCCGTGGCCGAAGCCAGTGGTGGGAACTTGTTACTGATTTCGCCTTGGTCGCCCAATCGCTTCACAATGCTGTCCAATATTCTGAACTCATGCGCGCATGCAGATAGTTGCGCCAAAGGGGATTGGCGCGCACGCGCGCGAGGCCCGCGAGATATTATTTGACAGGGGTGATCCCGTTCAGAGCCAGCGCGTTGCCCGCAGGCATCATTTGACAGGAACTGTTACTGAACATGGAATTGCCAGATTATCGCATGTGCAAAGCACCGCAATCATTCCAAGGAGTGATGCCCGTTCAGCGCGCGCGTGTTTCTGTATTCCGAGGGGGTATATGAGAGTGGACACACGTCAGCACCCCCTCGCTGCCGACGAAATACAGGCGCCATATGATGATGCCAAGTTTCTTTTGGACAGAAGTTCAGACTAAGCTCCCGCCCAGCACCTAGCGCGCGACGTTCTCGTTCTGCAAACGTCTCTGTTCGGCCACGCCGCAAAGGGGGGAACACTGAGGCTCGCGCGCACGCACGGGCGAAAACATCGGGGTCGGAAGCAAAGGCCCAAACTGCTCGCCAACGATCAACATGATCGGTTCAGAAAAACCCTGGTCGCACGACTGGCACCCTGCGTTCGGGGCTGGAAGACGGGGCGAAGAAGCAAAGGCGCGCAGGCACCCGTCGCGCGCAACTCGGCCAAGCGATCCTTGGCGCTGGGGCGTGCATGAGCGTCGAAACGCGCCAAAGAGGCCCTCGAACGCGCCGCGAGAGGGCGCGACGAGCGACGCGAGGGCGCCGCGAGAGGGCCCAAGGGCGGCCGCGGGAAAGCCACGAGCAGGCTGCGCGCGGACCGCACCGGAGCCACGCCTGGGCCGCGAGCGGGCTGCGAACGGGCCACCAATGGGCCGCGGGGGGGGCCACGACGGGCGCGGGAACGAGCCGCGAGTGGGCCAAGAAAAGGCAGCGATGGAACCGCAAGGGGGAATGGGCTGGGCCGCAGCGGGGCCGCGATGGACCGCGGGGAAGTCGCGAGGGGGGCGCGAGGGCGCCACGACGGAGCCACGAGAGGATGGCGCGGCGGCAAATGGGGGCCAAGCGGAGGCCAAGGGGGAAGCTTTGAAGGTGCTGCTGCCACGAAGTCGGCGCGACGAGGCCACGACAGGGCCGCGAGCGGGCCATGGGGAGGGCACGGGCAAGCCGCGAGCAGACCGAAAGCGGTTCACGAGCCCACCGCGACGGGGGGCCGCAGAAGATTCGCGGGAGGGCGCGCGGAGGGCCCCTCTGAGCCCCGGCGCCGCGCACACATGTCTGTCGTTTCTGGCTGCGTCGCCCCCGAGTGTTTAAGCTGTCTCGGCGAAGGGGACCTATGGCGCGACCGCAGCGCACACGGGCCTGGCGGTCATCGCCGACGTGAAGGGCCCACCCGTCGCGCTGGGTGGCCCGCGGGAGCGCTTGTCCCATGTGCGCGTCACATGCGCCCTCCCTGCGAGAGGTGCACGAAATCGCATATGGCGCGATCATGTGGCGAGGCCCTCGCGCACCGTTCGTGGAACTTGCGAATGGCGGCGCATGTGGCGCGCGCATGTCGCGCGCGCGTGTGGCGCGCGCGCGTGGCGAGTAAATGTGGCGCGCACATGTGGCGCGCCCACGTGGCGCGCACACGTGGCACGCGCGAGTGGCACGTGCGCTGCACTCGCACGTGGCGCGCGTTGCTGATTACATTCCTGGCTCACTACTCGCCAGCAAATTCTTCCCCGAAGCGGTCCTGGCATGAAACGCTCGCTTGCACAATGAACCGTTTCGCTGCGCCGGGTTCAGGTGAAGTTGGCGCTGGAGATCAAAACTTAGGGACGGGGGAGCGCAAAAAAGTTTCACCTTCGGCTGCAATCGAACTCTAGGCTGTGATGCAGGCACAAAGAAAACACGCACGAGATATCGACTCCACCGCTCGGAATCAGAACAACAACTTTCTTGCGCGCACGCGACACTTGAAACGTCACTGCATCTTGCGTAGAACGCAGAAAATCCACCCTCATAAGAATCACCCCGACACGCGAAGCCGTTTAGTCAACGCACCCAAATAAAGAATCGAACAGGGCAGGGCTGTCTAGTAAACGCCCAGAGAGCCGCCGTTTAGCAAACGCCAATTATCGGGTCCAGGTGGTTTTTCCCCCTTTTCGGGGATCCTCTGACCCGGGTCAATCCAGACCCGGGTCAGCAAGAAACCAAAAACTGCAATGCAAGAAAAAAAAACTGCAACGCAGGTCCTCGCAAACCCGGGTCAGCCAATACGCGCGACCGCCTCGCGGCCACGAGCGGCTCCCTAACCCGGGTCAGCCAGAGGGGGCCTTCGCAGGATCCTGCAAGATCCGGCGCCCTGGCTGACCCCCGTTTGCACTGACCCCCGTCTCGAGGCTCCCGACCTTTGATTGCGCGCGGCATGCCGGAGCCGATATAATGCGATTGGAAAGGCCCCTGGGGGGTGGTCGGCGCGCTGGGTACTGGCGACCCCGCCTGGGCTCGCGCGACATATCACGCCTCGTCACGTCTGCTGCCACGGTGACAGCAAGGACGTTTCTCTCTGGCGAGCGAGCAGAGCGCGTCACAAAACGGCACGCGCGAGCGACAAGCGCTTGTGACGACAACGCAAATGGCGCCATGCGTTCGCGCGGACACTTCCTCACAATGCGCGCTCTGACACTTGGGCGTTCGCTTTGGCAACGCTGGCCCGAGCTCGCGACGTCAGGCCAGGGGGCACGCGCGACCGAACACGAGCAAACACGAGCTGAGAACTAAGTCGCCGATGGGAGCGAAAAAATGCAGGGAGACAACGTAGTAAAAAATTTAGCGGTTGAATTCTTCATGTGACTTTAAGAATGTTCCCCAAAGTGCTTGCACTCAGAGGTTCTTACTTCTGTTATCAGTAGCTGGGCCGTTTCTTCGGTCTGGCAACTATGTGGACGTCGTCGTCGCCCTGTCGCCGCCTCGTCGCCGGCCGTCGTCTGGGCTGTTTCTTCGGTCTGGCGGATATGTGGCCGCCGTCGCCGCCTCGACGCCGCCTCGTCGCCACCCGTCTCCGCCGTTAGATTGCACTACGTAGGATTGCACGAAAAATGAATCGCGCCTGCGGCACGCTTTTTGATCGATCTCACAAAGCAGATTGCACCACCGTGAATAGTACAACATCGAGTGCACCACATAGATTGCACAATCACATGCACTGCGCCAGATAGATTGCACAACGTGGACGCACTCCCAATGTTGCATAAAATTTCTTGCATAACCACAGTACTTGCAGAACACATACTGCACAACACATGTTGCAACACATCTATTGTACTGTAGAGGGTGCACCACATTGATTGTCCTACAATGATTACAGCACGTACACTGCATTATTTGTGTGTCGCACATGCGGCGCGCTTCCTCGATCGCTCACAACATATACTGCATTACATCAAATCTCCTTTCTAAGAACAGAATAGGATCTACCCCACCCCCCCCGGCGTTATCGACACCCCTTTCGGGTATGTAAAATTATATATGATTATGACCACATGTCCATCCTAAATATGAAATCACAATGTCCCAGGCCAACCGGTATCCCCCCCCGGAGGGTCCCCTGTAAAAAACACTATGCCGTGACATTTTTTGCTCTAACATAACACTGTTTCACGAATCCATTGCAAAACATGTGACGAAGTGCGCACGCGCGCGTCGTCGCGCGCGCATGTCGAAATCCTTCAAAAACCTTCGGTGCCGGAAGGATTTCGCAATCGAGTTTCCAACACAACATACAAAAAGACAGGGTTCCGCAACACTGATGTGCTAAAAAAGCTTCTGCGCGAGCTCTTGCGAAATCTTAAGAAAACCATAGGTCTTTCAAGATTTTCACAAAATGCTCTTAAACGGGCTTCGCGCGCGCGCATGTCGAAATCTGTCGAACGCCCTTGCGCGCGTGCCGTCGCGAGAATCCTCTGCAAAAAATAAGACGAAGTGCAGACGCGCGCGTCGTCGAGCGCGTATGCCGAAAACCTTCAAAACCCATCGGTTTCGGAAGGATTTCAAAATCGTGTGTCCAAAAAAACATACAAAACACACAAGGTTTCGCAACACGGATTTTCAATCAAAGCGTGCGCGCGCGCTCTTGCGTCGTCGTCGTCGTCGTCTTCGCCGTCCTCCCTCCTCCCGCGTCGTCGTCGTCGTCGCCTACGTCGTCCTCTGTCTTTCCTCGTGTTCGTCGTCGTCGTCCTCTTTGGCGTCGTGGTCGTTTCCGTCGTCGTTGTTGCCGTGGTCGTCCTTCCTCCTCCTCCCTCGTCGTCGTCGTCGTCCGTCGTCGGCGTCTCGTCCTCGTCCTTCCTATTTCGTCGCCGTCGTCGTCGTCGCCGTTGTCGTCGTCTTCCCTCCTCCCTCGTCGTTGTCGTCCTCGGCGCCGCCGTCCTTCCTCCTTCTTCGTCGTTCGCGTCGTCGCCGTTCTCCCTCCTCCCTCGTCGTTGTCGTCCTCGGCGCCGCCGTCCTTCCTCCTTCTTCGTCGTTCGCGTCGTCGCCGTTCTCCCTCCTCCCTCGTCGTTGTCGTCGTTGTCGTCGTTGTCGCCGTCGTCGTCCTTCCTCCTCCCTCGTCGTCGTCTTCGTTGGCGACGTCGTCGTCGTCGTCGTCGTCGGCGTCGGCGTCGTTGTCGTCGTAGACGTCGTCGGAGACGTCGTCGGTGTCGTCGTAGTCGCCGTCGTCGTCGTCGTCGTCGGCGTCGTTGACGTCGTCGTCGTCGTCGGTGTCGTCGTTGTCGTCGTCGAAAGGTTTGGAGACGTCGTCGGTGTCGTCGTAGTCGGTGTCGGCGGCGCCGTCGTCGTCGTTGTCGCTGTCGTCGTCGGCGTCGGCGTCGTGGCCAAGTGTCATGTGGTACGTACCGTCACGGTCCTGTCTTAAGAGGTCTTGCGACCAAACTGCGGGTGGGAGTGTGAGATGTTTGCACGAGCAGTGGAGAGGACAGCTTCAAGACGGTCAAATATTAACTGCACCGCATAGGTTGCGCCACGTATATTGCACTACATATATGTATATACACACACCGTACAGCACGGATTGGTCCACACAAATTGCACTACAGATATTGCACTGCATAGAGTGCACCACATGGATTGCAAACGCTAGATTTCTAGAAGCACACCGTTTAAGGTCAACTATGGCTAACATGTGTTCGCATTTCAAGGGTCAACAAAATGTGCTTATATGGCTCGGTACACAGGAAGTGCCGACACATGCTTCAACAGTCGGCGTCAACAGGCAGGCTGCGCGGCGTGGCCAGCATTGTGCAATGTCAGAAGCGAAAAGCCACGGGCCATACGGAGCCTGACAGTAACAAATAGACCGATACCGGTGTTGGAAATGACTGACAAATTGAATCGAACTGTGAACAAATTCAATAGATTGCTCGATGGCTTGTACACTATTCATCATCGCATCCTCGGGGGTGCGCAAAACCCCCCTCCAACAACACACCCTTCCGTGTAAACGGCCCAGAACCAGACCCGGCGAGCCAGCGAGCGCAGACGCCCTCCCGAGATCCGAACAAGGCAATTCGCTGATCGGCTTGGCAGGGTGGGGTTCCGCAGACGCCTACTTTGAGTGAACGCCCTTCGATCTTAGAGCGAGACCAGACGAAACAGAAAAACACGGGACGGACGATTGATACAATCATCCTGGCGAAGGACCCAACCATATGCAATTCTGAGTACCGCAGTTGTGAGCCCCGCCTTCAGTGGAGCTCCCCATGGGGCCACGAAACGTGTGAGGGGTGCGCCGAAGTGGGGCGGGGCCGCCATGCGAACTTTGCCACTGGGGCCTTTGGTGGAGCTCCCCATGGGGCCACGAAACGTGTGAGGGGTGCGCCGAAACAGAGACATGCGGAGGGCAGAGGCACAGAGGCGGAGGAGAGAGGTGGGAGGAGGAGGAGGAGAAGAGGAAGGAATGAACGCGGAGCGCTGTCTCTTCAAAACGGGGACTCAACACCACAGGATGGTTGGGAACAAATGCATATTTCTCGCCTGGGTCGCTGGCTGACTGCGAGCATCTTTTGAATCGTCCACTTCCAAATGGGCGCTGCGACTCCGCCCGCGGGCATTTCTCATCATCGTTTGGTAGCCTCATCGGTCCCAAGGGGACACAGAAGGAAGACATGACTATCATTGCTCATCGCGCCCCGCAAGGTGCGACGAGCGGCCATTCTCGCGCCCCCGCGCCGCCGCCCTGGAGAAGGGTGCCGTTGCGGCCCAGGCCACGAGTCGCGAGATTCCTATTGGCCCCACGGGGGGGGAAGAGGGAGCACATCTCGCGGTACCACATCACGCTTTTATCCTCTCGCACTCGTCCTCGTGGGATATTTGTTTGTTGCGTTCGTCCTTACAAGAATTCGAGTTGTCCAGGAACGCAACAGCCCCGTCGCTGATGTTTGCCCAACACAAGAGCACATCGCACGCGCCCCGCGATATGCGACGAGCAGCTGCCTTCGCGCCTGCGCGCCGCCGCCCTGGATCGAAGTGGTGCCTCTGCGAGGCCCGAGCCGCGAGGCGCGGCTCGGGACTTTGTCTGCTCCGCCCCAACCCCCCACACAGCACCTCTTGGGCGAAACAGAGAATGAGGACGAACAATGAACAATCGGACTAGAACCAAACTTCCAACATGAACAGCACATTGGCGGCGCGCACAGGGGGGGCGGGATAGGGGGGAAGGCTTCTTAGAAGGAGGCTGCTTCTTGGAAAGCGCGGGCCTTATACCTACAGACAAGGCCCCACGCCCTTCTAAGAAGCAGCCTCCTTCTAAGAGCTTCCCCCCGCCCCATGCCCCGCTCTGCGCGTCGACGAGCACACGTGGCCGAGCCGTAGGTGCAAGAGGAGTGCAGGCGCACAGACGTCCAGGCCAGAACGAGGACGAGCAGGATGAGGATGCACAAGGAAAACAACAACCGCAAGAGCATAAACTGTCGGGGCTCCGCGCGGATTCTTGGATCGGCACTGAGCCCCCCCGGGCGGCGCCTCCGGCGCCGCCTCTGCCGCGCTCCGCGCGCCAGGGCGGGGGATCCAGCGACGATCCCAAAAATCTGCGCGGAGCTCTGAAAATGTATGTTTATGCAGTTTTCTCCTCTCCGACTGAAGAGGGGAGTGAGGAGGCTGGAATGGCTGCCTGCTTGCGCGCGACCGCTCCTGGCCCCTCGAGGACGAAAAATCAGGGAAGGAAGGCCACGGAGAACTGAGTCGGCATGCCTCTTGAATGCTCCCGCCGACGGGAACGACTCTGAGCGCGGGCGATGGACGAACAGGCACGTCATGAGCAAGAATTTACGGGGGCCCGCATGGATTTCTTGGCCCCTCCCCGGTGGCATTCGGGCTATGGCTCAGACCTTCGGCGGCTGCTGGGGACGATCTGGGCAATCTCTGAAGGCACTCGACGAGGCGCAGCTGCTGAATCGCACCCCGAGACTGGAAGACCGCCGAGAACCAGCAAAATACACGAAAACCTCGAACCTCGAGCCCAACCCCCCTCATCGGCGGTTCAAAGGTGGGGCCCTGAGGGATGAGGACCTCAGGATAGAAAAGCATAGGAAGGGATCCAAGGGTGGATTTACGTTCTGCGAGGCACCTCGTCCTTAGGGCCCCATCCCTCAGGACCCCGCCTTTGAACTACCGACCTACGGTCGGGAACTGTTGCTTGGCGTGTCGCCGCGGCGGCCCCAGCGACACGCTAAGCCCTGCAAGTGGCTAGCGTGTCGCTCTGCTCTGCAGGGCGGGAGGCTATGGGGAAGCCTCGCGACGTTGACGCTCTGGGCACTGGAAGTGGACAGCGGACAGCGTGTCGCGCCGAAGCGTGGTGGGCCAGAGCCAGCGGCGCGACACGCCAAAAACTCCCGACCATTTCGCTGCCCCTGCCAGGTACGGAACGACCCGGCGGCGCAGCTGCTCGCCCTGCCCGCCGACGGGCATCGCACCCCTGGGGCCCCGAGGACGGCACCGCAGCACGCGGCCGAGGAGCAGTGGGCACGCCTCTGGCCGGCGGCACCGCGGCCGCCATCAGCTGCTGCTGCCTCGGCCAGAGGGCAGAGGGCAGGGCCAGCCAGCATCGAATCCGAAGATCGGCATAAATCACAAGGTGCATCGGATCGGGCCGCATCGGCACGGAATCGGGATGAGATCGGATCGGCTGCGCCAGGATGAACAAGAGCGCCATGCAAGCATCGGGCCGCATCGGGAATCAAATGGGTTGGCCCGCCCAGAATCGACATCGAATCGGATCGATCGGATCAAACTGGCTCCGAGAGGGTGAAAACAGCTGGCACGCCGTTGTTTACCAATGCCACGCTGCGCAGCCGCCGGTAGCCCATCCACGTGCTATTCCTTCGTTGTCGTCCGAAGGCCTGGTGTTTCTCCCACGGTATTACGCGGATGGGTTCCCCACGGCGGCGTGCTTTCGCATGAAGCCAGTGTGCACTTGATGGAAAGTGCCAGCTTCCCCAATCAGGGAAGGAGGAGGAGGAGGAAGTGCCAGCTTCTCCAATGAGGGAAAGGGAACTCCGCCAGTCGGGCTCAGTCACATTGTGGGGAAGTCCCGCGCGAGAGCGCGATTTGGAAATAACTTACGAGGGAGTATCGAATGTGAGCTGCTGTTGCTGTAAACCGGGGGCCAGGGGCGCAGATTGAGGAGGATGACTTTTTCCCTGATAAAAGAAAACAAGGTGCAAGCCCTGGGAAGGGCACTTCACTTGAAAAACACATATGTTACTGGACGGGGATAAACAATAATTCGTCTCCAGTGATGCGAGCTCAACAACAACACAAACTACAACAACAACAACAACAACAGCAGCAGCAGCAGCAACAACAACAACAGCAACAACAACGGAAAGGCGTGCACTCCGGCCCCGGTCAGGGCCGGAGCCTCCGGTGTCATTCCGCCGGTGGACGGGCGCACACTCCGGCCCCGTGGGTCTGTTGGCCTGAGGCGCTGTGTGACGACGACTTCTCCGGCCCTGCGAGAGGCCATCTGCGGCGGTTTCGCGCCGCGGTGGGCAAACGTACACTCCGGCCCCGTATGCCCCGCCAGATGTGCTGTTCCCTCCACAGATAACGCTCCCCGTGCGCTACCCCATTCTCCGGCCCCGTGTGCACCTAAGACACCCTCAAGGACCCTCACGACGACGACGACGGCGAAGACGACGACGACGACGACGACGACGACGACGACGACGACGACGGGGATCCTGAGGAGTCCTCGGGAGCCCTGAGGAGTCCTGAGGTGTCCTTACGAATCCTTGGGGGCCCTGAAGAATTCGCAGATATCCCAATGAAGCTTGAGCAGGCCCGCAAGTTCCTGAGCAACCCTGGCTAGATCCTGAATAATGCTTGGGGGATACAAAGAATGTCTGTGAGGTCCTGAGGAATCCTGGGGCCTCGGGAGGAATCCAGAGGAATCCTGATGGATCCTGACGAATCCTGACGAATCCTGACGAATCCGGAGGAGTCCTGATGAGTCCAGAGGAAGCCAAGGGGATCCTGAGGAGTCCTTGTGTCCTGAGGATTCCTGAATAATTCTGAAGAATGCTAAGGGGTCATGAGAAACCCTGAAGGGTTGAAGGGTGCCCGGAGGGGATCCGGAGGAATCCTGTGGGAGCGTAAGGAGCATTCAGGCATCCTCGAGAACCTTTGAGGACGATGCTGAGGCATCAGTGTGGATCCTGAGGAGGAATCCATCGGACTCTTTGGAGGGGGGGGGGTCCTGAGGAACCCTGAGGAGTCTTTGGGGGTCCTGGGGAATCCTGACGTGTCCTGAGGAGTCCTTAGGGGTCCTGAAGAATTCGAAGATATCCTGAAGAATCCTGAGCAGCCCCTCGGGGCCATAAGACACCCTGAGGAAATCCTGAAGAACCCTTGAGGGTCCCATGGGTTCCTGTGGGATCCTTAGGAATCCTGGGGACTCGGGAGGAATCCTGAGGAATCTTGAAGGCCCCAGAAGAATCCGAACGAATCCTGAGGAGTCCTGATGAGAGCCCAGAGGGAGCCTGGGGGATCATGAAGACTCCTTGTGGGTCCTGGGGAATTCTGGGGGGTCCTGAAGAATGCGAAGGAGTCCGGAGGAATCCTGAGGGGCACCCTGAGGGGATCCTGAGGAATCCTTAGGGCTCCTTCGGGGTCTTCAGGCATCCTGAGGAACCTTGGGGGGTCCTAAGGAATCATCGTGGATCCTGCGGAGGAATACATAGGACTCTTTTGAGGGGGGGGGTCCTGGGGAATCCTGAGGAGTCCTCGGGAATCCTGAGGAGTCCTGAGGTGTCCTGAGGAATCCTGACGATTCCAAAGAAATCCGAATGAGCCCAAAAGAAGCGTAGGGGATCCTGAGGTATCCGAGTATGTCCTGAGGATTCCTGAAGAGCCCAGCGGGATCCTGAGAAACCCGAGGGGAGTCCTGAAGAACCCATTAGGGTCCCAAGGGTTCCTGCGGGATCCTGAGGAACCCCGGGGCCTCGGGAGGAATCCAGAGGAATCCTGAGGGATCCTGAATAATCCCGACGCATCCAGAGGAGTCCTGATGAGTCCAGAGGAAGCCTTGGGGATCCTGATGAATCCTGTGGAATCCTGAAGAATGCTAAAAAATCCTGGGGTACCCAGAGGGGATCAAGCTGGCTCAAGGTGGCTCAAGCTGTTGTGGCACGAACGCACGAGCTATCGTATCAAAGTTTGTCGCTGGGGCGGTCAGTCTGCAAAGGCCTGTCGCCGGGGCGGTCAATCACCACACACTGCCACATTTTCTTTGTCGCATTCTGTTTCTTGCTTCTCGGTCTCTCCATCGGAACTTGCTGTGCGATGGCGGCGGCAACGGAGCGAAGGCAGAACACCCGCCAGCCGGGGGCCCCGGTAGGCAAGGACCTGCAGCGTGATGTCCGTCAGCGCCTCTTCAGCCCTTTACACGAAATGGATGGTGCGCGCGATCCCTCTCCCCCTCGGCAGGCAGAGCAGCATTTGATCGCAACACCGAGTACACCGCAGGATGCAGCACGTGGAGCACCAGCACAGCCACAGCAGCAGCCGCAGCAGGCACCTACACTCCAGGAGATAGCGGCCCTCTTGAAACAAAAAGTCCAACCGCTGAGGAACGCGGCAACCGGCTTGGAGCGCCAGGTGTCCGAGCTCGGAGGGACGATCGAGGCGCGGATGACAGCCTCCGAAGCACGTTTGGAGGATGTGGAGATTCGCCTCACGAATCTGGAGAACTCGGAAGGCTCGTGTGCAGGCTCCCGGACAGAGACAGAGGTCTGGGACCAGATCAAGGCTCTGGAGACGGAGGTTGCTATGCTCAAGAGCGCGACCAACCAGAACACGAACTCCAGCGGCCCTACTAACCAGATAGATCATACTGCCGTATTTGGTGGTTTCCGTGGTGCCACGAATCAGGACGAGCTCGACAAATGGATTTGGAGGGTTCTGGCAGATGCGAAGGCTACTCCGCCAGTTCAGACTTACATCAAAGGCGAGTTCAATTCGTTCAATGGGGTCGCATTCGGCAAGTACTCATCTGCAGTCGAACGGGACGCTGCGGTAGAAGCCGTCCGCAAGGCCTCGCTAGAATACGGCGGGCAGAAAGTGCGGGCCAAACCGGAGCAACCTCTCGAGACAAGAGCGTTGCAGAGCGTCTTGTTCGGAGTCAAGAAGATGCTGATCGACTGGGGCTTCGACTAGAAAAACCTTTGGGCAGATACCTCAACCATGAGTTTCTCATGCGGGAGCGACCTCGTAATCAAAATGACCGTGGACAATATGACGCCTACTATTGAGTATGGCGTGGAGTGGGAGACATACATCATGCCTGACGGTACGAACAAGACCGTCACTGACCTGCTCGACGCGGCGAAGGAAAAGCTGCAGCGAAGCTCTGCTCCAAGCAAGGGCCTCGGCAAAGGCAAGGGGAAACGGTCCTTTTAGGATCTACCCCGATCGGTCACGAACCCGTCCAATCTAGAACGTTTTCGGCGGCCTCTTTGGATCTTCTGCAAAAATGCAAGGATCAGTTTTCCCACGAGGCTGGCTAATCCCACCAGCCCTCTGGGCGTCGGTGGTTTAGGGCGTTTCCTCTTCCACCCCTCCCTCTTCCCCTTCGGCCGCGGGTAGTTAGAGCGTCCAAGACCGCCCAATACGGCTCCAAGAGGGCCTCAGGGAGCTCAAGATGACCTCCAAGATGGCTCAAGATAGCGCAAGATGCCTCAAGATGGTCCCCATGATGTTCCAAGACGCTCCAAGAACTCCCCAAGACGGTTCCAAGTGCCCACAAGAGCACCATTAGGATGCATCCAAGAGGCCAACATGCTTCAAAACCCTAGGGAAAATCAATGTTGTTGGTGTTCTCACTTGTTCGCTTGCGATGCACATCCGACGCGTGAAGATGGCTCCAAGATGGCTCAATATAGCTCCAAGAGGGGCCCAAGAGAGCCTCAGGGCTCCAAGAGCGGCCACGAGCGCTCCAAGAGCGATCCAAGAGGGGTCCAGGAAGCGATTTTTGGAGCTCCTGGGGGGGGGCTGTAATTAGGGAACCCCACTTCCTTGGCCGATGTCCTCCAACATTGCCCCAAGAGCGCCCCAGCAGGGCCTTCAAGGGCGCCCAGACGGGTCCAAGAGGAGCCCAAGCCTCCCAAACCAGCTTCCCAAAAGACCCCCGAGAAACCTCAAGAGTCTCCCTGAGGCCATTGGAAAGCTCCCCAGACGTCTCAAGAGACTCCCACCAGCCCTCTGGGCGTCGGTGGTTTAGGGCGTTTCCTCTTCCACCCCTCCCTCTTCCCCTTCGGGGAGGGGTTTACCCCTCCCACTACCCCCTCCTCACTGACCTGGACAGGAGGGGCGGGGAACGGTCAGAGCGTCCAAAACGGCCTCGGCGAGGAAGCCTAAATCATTGTTTGTACAATGGTTTTGGCCCCATTTTGGCCTTCTGAAGGGGGCAGCGCTAATTAGAGCTCCCCTCTTCTTTGATCGATTTCCTCCACGATTGCCGCAAGAGGCCCCCAGGATGCCCCAAGAGGCCGCAGGATGGCCCCAAGATGGCCCCAAGAGGCCCCCCAAGAGGCCCCCAGGAGGCCACCAAGAGAGCCCCAAGAGGCCCCAAGAGACCCCGCAGAGGCACCCAAGGTGCTCCAAAAGGCCTTTTTACTAAGGTTTGGGCCCCATTTTAGCCTTCTGAAAGGGGCAAAGATGGCCCCAAGAAGCGCCCAGGAGGCCCCCAAAGGCTCCAAGATGGCCCCAAGAGGCCCCAAGAGGCCCCCAGGAGGCCCCAAAGAGGATCCCGAACGGCCCACGGAGGCCCCCCCGAGGCACCCAAGACGCCGAAAAGCCCCTCAGGACGACCCTCTACTCGCCTGGGCGTCGTTTCTGGACGGGCTGGTGGGGATACGCGAAGCGTCTAGAATTTACATGCGGAACTCGATGTGGTGAAATGGAGTATTGCTTGCTTTTGCGAGACGAGGGCCGCAGAAACTGATGATATACTTCATGGAGGCCACCGCCTAATTTCCGGGTTGGGCGAAGCGCGCCATACAGGTACCGCTATACTTTTGCATGCAGATCTCGCTGACAAAGTCAGCAGAGTTCGTTTACAGTCTGGAAGAATCACTGCAGTTGACATTGACAACCATTTGGGGCACAACTTTCGGATCTTCGCTGTTTACGCTCCTCACCTTGGTTACGGCCACGCTTGTCTACTTGATCTCTACGCAGAGCTGCAAGATCTTGTGGCTGAAGCCGCACGTTCTGGCAGGAAGGTGCTGATTGGTGGAGACTTCAACACGCAACTCCGGCTAGGCCTACGCAGTAACCTGCTTTGTGGGTTCGCTTCAGAGCACAAGCTAACCATCACGACAGACGATGAGAATATTCCCTGGGAAGACAAATGGACTTTCGAGAGCACATTGGGAAAGCGACGGCAATTGGATTCCATTCTCGTCGACAACAGTTTCTGCTTTAGCGCGGCCGGGGCGTCAAACCAGCTTGACCTCGGCTCAGATCACCGGAGCGCTGCGTCATGCATTGATATATTGGGGCCGCTTGCGGAGAGGCCCGCTCGACCAAGACGTGCAAAATGGCGAGGGTCTTCCCAGTATCAGGGGACAGTAGAGACCATGATGGAGGGTTGTACTGGCTGGTCAGTTCAAGATCTACAGAAAGTTGTGGTTGATGCGGCACGTGCGTCTGGGGCGTTGGAGCCTCCCCAGAAATGCCGGAAGCCATGGCACAACGATGACCTTCAAGAACTACGGCGCCAACGCCGGCAGTGCTCGGACATTGCCGAACGACGCCGGTTGTCCAAGTTGATAGCCAGCGGCACGAGAAAAGCTTTGAGGGAGTGGCAGACACAGAAAATCCGTGCACAACTTGAGCTCTTTTCAGATGTGAAGAAGATCCCCGCACTCTCTATGGAGCCTGTGAAGGGCAAAGCTGCGCTGCGACCTGACCCGCAAGCCTTCGCGACCATGCTGCAGAACGCCTACTCGTCAGAGGCCGACGCGCCACCTCCCCAAGACACTTCGCAGCTCTGGCGTATACCAGATATAACGCCATGGGAATTGCAGACAGCTCTCAGATCGATGGCCGACAAAATATGTGCTGATAAACATGGTGTTTTGTTGGAAATGTTTCGCCATGCGGGCCCTCTTGCCCAATCAGTCCTGGTTGCATGTCTCAACGGCGTCGTGCACACGGGCGTCGTCCCCAACGACTGGAAGGAGCTGTTGTATGTGATGATTCCCAAGGCTGGCAACGCTCTGGACCCCAACAACTGGAGACCACTGGCTATCTTGGATATTTCATACAAGATCCTCGCCAGAATCTTGCACGACCGTCTCAAAGCCATCCTGGAGCCCCGCCAACCGCCAGAGCAGCTGGGATTTCGATCCGCCACTGGGACAGAACACGCGCTCTTAATACTCGAGAACGTTATTCAGAAATCAATTGAATTTGATTCGCCGGCATGGATCATGAGCATCGATTTGACGAAGGCGTTCGACAGAATTGAACACCGTGCACTATTCCCTGCCCTGTCAGAGCAAGTCCCTGTCGAGTACCGCACGCTGCTCCCATGCTTGTACACAGCTCAACGCGGACTTGTGGACAGCTGCCAATTCGCCATAGAACGCGGGGCCAGACAGGGTGACGTGATTAGTCCAATGCTCTTCAACGCTGCGCTGGAAGCGGTCATGTGCCGGTGGCAGGCTCGGCTTGGCAATTGCGGTCTCCTGCTCAGCCCGCAGAGCGATCGTTTGACTAACATCAGAAATGCAGACGATCTACTTCTATTTGCTCGGTCGCATGAGGATGCAGTGTTCATGCTCGATTGCCTCGTGGAGGAACTGAGCAGAGCTGGTCTGTCCGTCCACGCGCGGAAGACGAAGATCTTGACAACAGATGCGAACGTTGCAGCAGACGAGGTCCCGCTCTTCCTCGACGCCGGCGGCGGGATGGTTGAGGTTGTCAAGCACGCGGGCACGCAAAAGTACCTTGGCCGGCTGCTGAGCGGCGATTTGAGGATGCGAGGTAGGTGCAACCTGGAGCACCGCATGAAGTGCGCTTGGCTAAAGTACCACCAGTTTTCAGACACGTTGCAGAACCGCAGCATTCCGATCAAATTACGCCTGCGTCTGTTCGGTTCCGTGGTGACGCCGCCTGTCCTCTACAGTCTGACCACAACGCCACTCACTCAAAAAGACCTCGACAAGCTGGACGCGCTCCAGAGGAAAATGTTGAGGCGCATTGTTGGGTGGGTACGTTTGGAGGAGGAAGCATGGCAACTTACTGGCCATCGCATGAAGCGCCGGCTGGAGGCGGCCTTAGCGCAACAGCCAGTCACAGAATGGAGCATCCGGCGCAACCATCAGAGAGATTTGCTGGTCCAACAAATCGAACACGGATATCTGTCGCAATGGTGTTCTCTGTCGTATGCTTGGCGGCCTAGTCGAGCGCGATATAGAGGCCGACCGCTTCAGAGGTGGACCGACTGAATCTGTGCCCGTCAGCGCGGAGTTCCTCGTGAAGGTCCCCGTGAGCGAGATCTGAGAGTTTTCTTCCATTCTGCCCTTCTCCCTCCGCCCTCTCCTCCCCCGCTCCCCGCCCCTGCCTGCCCGTGAATCAATCCTCGTTAGACGTTCGCACATTTGCCCGGGTGCCGGAGGCACGGGCCAAGTTTTCCCCCCGAGTTCTAGATTGGCACGGCCTTCGGGCCGATCGGGAGTTGCGTTGCGTTGCCAGAGGGGATCCTGAGGAATCCTTGGGAAACCGAAGGAGGCCTTCAGCATCCTGAGGAACCTTGGGGGATCCTGAACGCTGTGGATCCTGAGGAGGAATCCATCGGACTCATTTGGGAGGGAAGGATCCTGGGGAGTCCTGACGAATCCTGGGGAGTCCTGAGGAGTCCTGAGCTGTCCTGGGGAATCCTTGGAGATCCTGGAGAATTCGAAGATATCCTGAAGAGTCCTGAGGAGCCTAACGGAATCTTGAGAACCCCATTGGGAGATCCAGAAGACTCCTTGGGGATCCCCAGGATTCCTGTGGGATCCTGAGGAACCCTGGGGACTCGGGAGGAGTCCTGAGGAATCCAGAAACGTTCTGAGGAACCCTGACGAATCCGAAGGAATCCTGATGAGTCCTGAAGAAGCCTGGGGGATCCTGAGGAATCCTACTGGGTCCTGAGGAACCCTTGGGAATCCTGAAGAATCCTGGAGGATCCTGAGGAATCCTGATGGGTACCCTGATGGGATCCTGAGGAACCATGACATGGTGGATCCTGAGGAATCGTGGAGTGTCCTGAGGAATCCTTAGGGATCCTGACGAATTCGTGGGGAGATCATGAGGAATCGCTTGGGATCCCAAGGATTCCTGGGGGATCGTGAGGACTCCTGGGGACTCCGGAAGGAGCCTGCAGAATCCTGGAGGATCCTGAGGAATCCTCGGGGGTCCCGTGGAATGGTTCCTGAGGAATCCCGAGGAATCCTGGTGGGTCCTACGGAATCCTTGGAGATCCTAGAGAGTCCGGAGGGGTCATCAGGAATCCAAAGGAATCCTGAAGGATTCGCGGAAATCCTGGGGAAACCTTTGGAAACGCGCCAGGAATGCCGACCCCTTCTCCGGCCCCGTGGGGCACCTTGCGCTGCCGCCCCAGTGCCAACCCCTTCTCCGGCCACGTGGTGCAAGCCATCGGTTGCTGAAGCTTTGCTTACCCTCAAGGATAAGCACTTGAGTTCTGAGAGAACAAGAAGATCTGAACAACAAGCGGGGGCCGGTGTCAACGCCTTACCGAGCAACAACAGCAACAATAGCAACAACAACAATCATTTTACCCTCATGCGCGATGCTTCCACACGCAGCATGCGACCATCATGATAACCATCCCCATCATGGGAGTTTATTGTTCTATCGCGGGGGTCCGTTATTCCCATTCCCAGATCGCCCGCCCAATGAGGTATTGCACACACCTCCTCCGAGGAATCTCAACAGATCCCGCCTCGAAAACACATGCCCGCGCCCTGCTGCGCCGATGCGAGACCGCCAGTGGGGCCCCCAGCCAAGGGTAAAGCACAAGGAAGTATCGAGTGACAGGATTTGCTTGGTGGGGATGGGGGCTGTCGGCGGCGAGGCAAGAACCTGGCCCTGAGTAGAAAGGGAGGAAGTCTCGAGCAGGGGTGCTGTTGTTACTGGGAGCGGCGCCAATTCAAAACAGAGTAGGGCGCTAGTCCAGCGTGAAACAACACGAAGTCTCGAGCGGGAGCGCTAGTTCTGTTGGGACGGCGGTTGTCGGCGTCGAGGAGGAACACCGCCTTAAGTAAGAAGGGGAGAAGTCTCGAGCGGGAGCCGCGGTTTTGTCGGGACGGAGGCTGTCGGAGGTGAGGAACAGCACCGTCTTCAGGAAAAACGGAGGATGCCTCGAGCGGGAGCGTTGTTCTTGCTGGGGGCGGCGCCAATTCAAAAAAAGTTGGGCGCCAGTCCAGCGTAAAACGGGAGAAAGTCTCGGGCGGGAGCGCTGTTTTTGTTGGCGCGGCAGCTTTCGGCGGGTAAAAAAAAGGAAGTCTCGAGCGGAAGCGTTGTTCTTGCTGGCGGCGGCGCCGATGAGAGAAAGAGTAGCGCGCAAGTCCAAGGTAAAACGGGAAGAAGTCTCGAGCGGGAGCGTTAGTTTTGTTGGGGCGGCGGTTTTCGGCGGCGAGCAAAGGCACCGGCTCTGGGCAAAAATACAAGTCTCGAGCGGGAGCGTTGTTGTTGGGGGGCAGGTTTTGGCGCCCCCCCAAACCGCTCGAGCGTGAGCCTCATTTTCAATGAAAATCTAGCCAGCGCCGAGGCGAAAGCGCCAGAGCGCCTGGGGGGGTCCAACACTAATAATTGTCTAGTAGTTAACATTCAACAGCAGCAACCACAACAGCACCAGCAACAGCAACAACAACACCAACAATCATTTTAAGACTGTTCGCTCTTATCTGCACGCGTGCCATTCAACACGCGTATCCCGAGCCCTCGATACCCGCCCTCTTCGTCTTCGATCGTGTCCCCTTAAGGCTATACCTTTTTTACCTGCACCGTGTATTCCGTGCAGCCCCTGCGACAGGGGAAGGGAGGACGAATGGAAGGAAGGGAGAAAGGGACAGGCGGGTAGCTGAAGCGTGCGTCCTGCATGAATCGCGAGGAAGACCTCGAGCGATAACGCGATTCCCAATTAATCGTCAGGAAATCCACAGCGAGAGCGTGATTCCTGAGTGTCGAGAGCGCGGCGTCTGAGTACATTGCGAAGAAGTCCCAGACGAGAGCGCGATTCCTGCATGCATTGTGAAAATCCAGCGCGAAAGCGCGATTTGGAAATACATTGTGAGAAAGTATCAGGCGGGAACCGTTGTTGTTGTAAACCGGGGCCCAGATCGGTGGCCCCACGCTGTCCCATGTAAAAAACAGGGTGCGGGCCCTGGAAGGAGCAGTTCAATTGAAACATACAATGATTACCAGAGGGGGGATCAACAATAAGTATAAATGTAAGATGGGAATCCAAAGACAGCAACAAGGACAACAACAAGCACAATGAAAACAACTAGAACAACAGCACAAACAACAACAACAACAACAACAACAACAGCAACAACAACAACAACAACAACAACAATAACAACAATACCAACAACACAAAAAAAACAACAACACCAACAGCAATATCAACAATAACAACACATCAATAACAACAACAACAACAACAGCAACAACAACAACAACAACAACAACAGCAGCAACAACAACAACAACAACAGCAACAACAACAGCAACAACAACAACACAAGGAGGATGGAACACGAGAGAAAGTAACTGAAAAGGGGTTAAGAACAGCAGCAAAAGTGGCAGAACGAAACGGGTAGATCGGGCGGATAGGCCCTAACGGGCGGGTCGGGAAGGCAGGAACTGCAGCGGGGCCACGAAGGGCTGCAGCGGGGCCACGAAGGGCTGCAACGGGGCCACGAAGGGCAGCGAGGGGGCCACGAAGCGCTGCAGCGGGGCCACGATGGGCTGCAACGGGGCCACGACGGGCAGCGAGGGGGCCACGAAGGGCTGCAACGGGGCCACGAAGGGCAGCGAGGGGGGCACGACGGGCTGCAACGGGGCCACGAGGGGCTGCAACGGGGCCACGAAGGGCAGCGAGGGGGCCACGAAGCGCTGCAGCGGGGCCACGATGGGGAGCGAGGGGGCAACAAAGGGCTGCAACAGGGCGACGAAGGACAACGAGGGGGGCACGAAGGGCAGCGAGGGGGCCACGAAGGGCTGCAACGGGGCCACGAAGGGCTGCAACGGGGCCACGAAGGGCAGCGGGAGGGCCACGAAGGGCTGCAACGGGGCCACGAAGGGCAGCGAGGGGGCCACGAAGGGCAGCGATGGGGGCCACGAAGGGCTGCATCGGGGCCACGAAGGGCAGCGAGGGGGCCACGAAGAGCTGCAACGGGGCCACGAAAGGCAGCGAGGGGGCCACGAAGGGCTGCAACGGGGCCACGAAGGGCAGCGAGGGGGCCACGAAGGGCAGCGAGGGGAGCACGAAGGGCAGCGAGGGGGGCCACGAAGGGCAGCGAAGCGAGATCTCGGTTCCTGAGTAAGCTGTGAGGGAATCCTAGGCGTGATCGCGACTCCTGGTGCCTGAGTGTCGGGAGCGCGGCGCTTGAGTAAATCGCGGAGAATTCCAACGCAAGAGCGCGATTCTTGAATACATTGCAAGCAAGTCTCCAGCGAGTGCGCGACTCCAGAGCGCCGAGAAAGCGATTCCTGTATGAATTGTAAGGGGGGTCGCAAGTGAGAGCGCGATTCCTGAATAACATGCGAGGATGTCTCAGGCGGGAGCGGGGGTCCTGGCTAAATTGTGAGAAAGTCTCAGGCGGGAGCCGTTGTTGTTGCAACCCGGGGCCAGGGGCGCAGTTTGACTTTATGTTACTTTCCTTGGAAAAAACAGGGTGCGAGTCCTGGGGGAAGCACTTCAATGCAAACAACACCATGGTCACCAGAGGGGGGATTAGCAATACTTAGTTTTCAGAAATAAAAAAGTCAACAACACCAACGACAATAACAACAACAGCATCAGCATCAACACCAGCATCAGTAACAGCAACACCAACAGCAACAGTACCATCAACATCGACATCAGCAACAACAACAACAACTACAAAACCAACATCACCAACCTTCCAGCGGAACCTCACTTCAGCCACGCGCGCACGGACAGTGAATGGCCGTTCGGCTCCCTCACTCTGACATAAACATAGACAGGTGTGGATCGGCGCTGGACAATACATGGCCAGCGCGAGGAGCGCGCCAGAGAGGACGTTGGAGGCGCCGCCAGGGGGCCCAGCGCCGCTCCAATAAATCTGCGCGGGCCTCCGCCCGCTGAAGTCTAATACATCTGTATATGTATATCCATAGATCTAGATCTATATGTATAATATATATACACACATATCGCGACTATCACTCTTACTATGCAATTCCCATGATTAGCATATATATATATATATAAATGTATATATATGTATCCTGGAGAAGGGCAAGAATACATCCTTGTGGAGCGTTCCTCCTCCTCCGATCGCATGGGGGCCAACCTTTCACTCAGTAGCGATCCGTCACGTGCCCTCTGGCCCAAGCTGGGCCATCTGGAGGCCCTAGCACGGGGGAGGGAGGCCGGCTGGCACGCGGCACGTGCCGCGGGGTGCGATCTCCTCCGCGGGGTCGCCGCGGGGGTCTCCGAGCCTCGGAACGATCGGGCGGGTGGCAGCGGGGAGCGACCTCGGTGGGGGAGAAGGGCCCCCAACATGGCTCCTAACGGGGCCCAGGAGAGTCCCTTTAGGATACTTTTCTTCAGCCCCCATTGCACCCCCCATTACCATCGGACGAAATGAACGACCCACCACTGCGAACAGCCGTCCAGGCCTGGCTGAGACCAGGTGGGAGAGGCCATGGTACATGACCTCTTCGAAAATACAGACATGCACCGTGACGGGCTCTTGCGGTGTCAAGACCCGGAGAGCAAGGCGGCTGAAGCTTCTGGAAGATCCTTCGACAGAGCTCCAGAAGCTCTGGAAAGGAGCTTCTGGAAAGCTTGACGGCACACGTATTGGGAAATAGTGAGAAAAAAAGGCCTGCAAAGACGAGCTTCGGAGAAGTAGTCCTGGTCGTGGATGTCGGCGAAGTGTTCGAGAGGGAGGCGCGAGTGGGGAAGGGGAGGCGCGAGGGGGGGGGCCGCGAGGGGGGGAGGGACGCGAGAGGGAGGGCGGCGCGAGGGGGAGCCACCATTGGCGGCGCACACGAGGGGGCGGCGCGATGGGAGAGCAAACCCAGTATTGAGAACACGCCGCTGTGGACAAAACAAAAAGGAAAGCCACACTGGTCGTCGCCAGGCCATGTTGCGGCGTTGGGTCTATCTTGGGCCGTCTTGGAGATGTATCTGGAGGCCTCCAGCTGGACAGATTTTGGCGCCACCCTGGGCCGTCGAAAGTCATCTTCGATCTCCGTGGGCAATCTTTACACCACCGTTCATCGTCATAGTCGTTGTGGCCGTGTTGCCATCAGCGCGTTGCTGCAAAAGGAAAACCAAGCCTTCGGACAGGAACGCGGGGGGCGGCCGTCAAAATGGTTTGGGTTGTTCCGGAAACTGGAAAACAGGGGCACTCGGGGCGATGCCGAGAAGGCCACCTGCCTTCTGAGAGCCAAGGGCACCCAAGAGGATGGCGTCCGAGAGGAACGTCTGCAAACCATGGCCCGAAGCATGTGCGCGGCCCGGACGGGGGGGGGGGGGGGGGCAAAGGACGCATCGAAACAAGACGGAGGGGTCATGAAATCCAGGGAGATGCAACGGCCCTGGCCATGACCCCACCAACCCTTGGCCATCGATCGGACGCCCATGTCCCGTGCATTGTTCGATTTCGTGCGTGTATTTTTCTGCAGAGGACCAAAAATGCTCCTCGATGGTTCTCGCCTAAAAAATGCACACGCCCGAGCGATGCCAAGCCCCCCCGCCCCTGCTTGGACACCAGCTCCCTCCTGGCCGCCTCAGAAGGAGGCCCGCCGCGTTCTCGCTGCGCTCCCCCCCCCCTCGTCGCGCGCAACAACAGCGCCGCCCCCTCGAGCACGGGCCACACGGCGCAGTCCCAAAGGACCCCCGACGCCACGATTGTGCTCACGGCGTGGACCCCCAGAAGCCTCGACCCATTCCCGGGGACTAGCTTTTCATTCCGAGTCGGCGCTGGATGGTCCGCGGGCCTGGCGAAGGCCCCCAGAAGCCGAAAATAGCAAAAGGAAACAATATACCGTCGTGATTCTGAGTTGTACGACGCGGGCGTGTCTGGGCAATCATCATCCTCGTCTTCGTCTGCCCGAGACGCCCAAAAAACGGCCCAGGAGGAGGAGGCGCAGGAGAAAGGAGGAGCAGGACGAGGAGAAAGATGACGAGGACCAGTGCAAGCTCATCCACGATGTTGGAATATACACTCCCTCCAAGTTGCCTCTTCACAAGCCCCTTATAAGGATTCATCCCACTGATTTAGGTGCCTCATTGGGGGATAACCGTTTGAAGATTCGGAAGCGTGTCCAAAACACCGTTCTCAGGACTTCAACGTCACGAATCAACCTGACTGTTGCGACTTCGCGATCCCGAATCGCGCCAGAACGCCATTCCTGAGACTTCAACACCGCGAATCAACGGAATTGGCGCGCATTGCAAATCCTGAGCCGCTCCAGAGCACCACTACTGGTACGCTAGCTAGAAATTCAATGAAGCTCTGACAGCGACTGAAAGCGAACGTGCACGGCGCCAGGAGGAGAGCCACATTCTGAAAACGAGCCGCCCTCAATCCCTGAAGCTCTTGCACATGTTACAAACGAATGCGCGCAGCGCTGAGGCGCGAGCTAAGGAAAAAGATCCTACCATTTCTGCTCCGAGAACGAGTCGTATGCTACTAAAACTGTCGTTTGGCTCCTGGGGACGACCTGTTGCTCTCAGAAAAAAAACTCGCCTTCCTGGAACACAAATTTTGTCTCACCACTTGACTATATAGTAATATGGTGTTGTAGACGATCTTGCACTCGAGAAGTGGGGAGGAGGAGGAGAAGGAAGAGGAGGAGGAGGAGAAGGAGGAGGAGGACGAGGAGGAGGAGAAGGAGAAGGAGGAGGAGGAGGAGGAGGAGGAGGACGGGTCCCATCCCTTGGCGGTGGAGCCCTGCCTCCAGCACCAGCTAGCGCAGCAGGCCCTGTAGCTGCGGAGCCCTGCGCACCATGACCTTTTCACGTGCCTCGACCGTCTGACGGGCGAGGGGAGGGGCAGGGAAGTGGCGGGGACGCAGAGCTTGAAAGGTAGAATGAATACAGTTAGTGCTCTTCGACAAGATGGGAGAGCCGCATGATGCACAAGAGTGAGGAGATGGAGGAGAAAGACGTCCAGAGGCTTCTGACACCAGGTGGAAGGGCTGGGAGAAGCTGAAGAAGAGGTTGGGCGATGGGGCAGTGCACGATGTCGTCGCCACCAGCACATTTACTGCCGAATTTGCAACTCTGAGCGCCCTGTCGGAACCTGCGGGTCGCGTTCCAGCTATTGAATACTGGCTCACTCCAACAGGGCAACGAAGATGAACGGTGGAACCATTTTACTGCTTCTGATGATCATCCTGCGGGCGAGGTCGAGATCATCTGGGCTCATAAAGAGGAGGGCCATTTGCGCAGCCTGGGGGCGATGATCCTGGACGCTGAGTGCCGGTGAACAACGGGCGCAATAATCTGGGCGAGCTTCCTTTGGGCGCTGTTCCTCATGAGGTCCCCGGGGAGCTGGGGAGTGAGCGGGGGGCCATGGGGGTCCTGATAAATCTGCCAGAAGATCGAATCCTTCAGACATGGGTGCCAACGATAGGTCACGAACTAATCATATCCTCCGAGCGTTTCCTCAAGCTGCTCCGCGAGCTTCGGGGAAAGGGCCAAATTCAAGACAACGCGGAGGCGAGCAGCAATGGCCCCAAATCGCAAATCTCCAGCTTGAACACCCAATCCTGCTTCTTTGAAGCGAGCGAAGATGGCCCGCGGGAAAAAGTGCCTGGGAGCGCAGGTGCAGACCTGCAAAACTTCTCTCGCAGCGCGCAAGGCGACAGGCGATGGTCGAAATCCTTGTGCGATGTAGCTGGTCACTGAAAAGGCATACTGGCTGTGGGCAGCGATGCTTGTCGTGAGCCCCTGACCCAACTTCTCGACCATCAGGGATCGCTGGGTCAGTTTGGAGACTACAGGGGCCCAGGGCAACTGAGAATAATTCCAACCTGTCGTAAACCCAATAGATTCGCCGCCATGTTGCAATCTGAACCCATCCACTTTCACCCCAAGACGTCGAAACTCAGCTTTAGCACAAGGAATAGCACCAGGGCCCAGGAGAAGGGTTACAAAGTTGATAATGTTGAGGAAGAGCAGCCCTGACCCTCTGCCACAGCGCACAAAGCGGCGGGCGACGCTGGGCAAAACGGCGTACATGTCCGCAGCCGCGAGACCCAGGTCATCGGCGAACGCCGTCATCTGCGTGGGGATCTCCGTTGGGGGCACGCGCGAGAATCTTCAACGCGGGCCGAGGGCGAACGCGAACAACGCACCCGATAACGGGCAACTTTGTTTTACACCTCGGTGAGCGATGAAGGAGATGGGGTCAGCACCGCGAAACGAGATCACACACTTCATGGGCGAGCAGAGGGGAGCGATGGCGACGATCAAGAACGCACGGGAATTGCAAGCACGCAGGGCCCGGATAATCCATTGGCGGTGCTCGGGCGGGGAGGCCTCGAGGAAGTCGAAAAACAAAAAAAAACAAAAAAAAGCAAAGTCCAGCTCGCTCCTCGGATCGCACTGCATGCCAGTGCGCCGGATTAAAATCTACTTCTAATACGTTATCCAGAATTTGCCGACCTCCAATGAAGCCTCGTTGGGGCCCATGGGGCCTGTCGCGAGCAACTTCTGAAATAGGCGAGGCGTGCATACTGCTCATGAGAGTGGCATCTGCATTGGGTAAAGCAATTGGGCACGCGTCTTCAACTGCTTTAAGGATGCGATCTGGATCGGATCTGCCCCCTGCGGCAAGAGGGCGACCTCGGGCGCGTTGAAATCCTCGCGCGCGGGGTGGCCCCCGAGCAGGCGCAGGTAGACATCAAAAACAGCTTCTTGCGCGAGAGATCCAAACACCTTCCAGGCGCTGCAACGGAGGCCGCCGGGCCTTGGGACAGAGCCTTTATATTTTCCTGAGGGGGAGGTCCTGAAATTGGTCGAAAGGGGCCGATGGAACCTTTGATGAGCGCCAGTGGCGAACTGGCGTGGGCCAGGAAGGAAGGGGGGGCAGCGGCGACGACATGCACCCCCAGCTCCCGCGAACTCCCGGCCGCGGGCGAACGCAGAGACCCAGTGATCGGCAAGCATTTTGGCACAGGTGTTGGGCTCAGCTAGCTCGGAGCCGTCGACGCCAATAATGCCCTTCAAGGAGATATTGCGCTGGCTGGCCTTCCAGGCACGCGCAAGCCGACGAATGCGATCGAGATGGAACTCTGCGGTGCTAGCCTGCGCACTGGAGTCGGCACGGATGGCGCGCCCCTGCTCCTCAAGTTCATGACGCATGAGTTGGCTAAGATGATGGCGGAAACCAATCCAATGGGTAAACTGCCGAAGATCAATCTTGTAGAATTGCTCGGGGATCGGGTGCGCACTCAACGCCCGCATGCTAAGTTTACGAATGGCGCCATGGTGTGCGCGGGCAAGACGGAAGCAGCAGGCAACCCCTTCCTGCCGAGATTCTGCTTTCGAGCGGCACATCTCTAGCTCGCACTCCTGACCTGCTGCGACCATAACGGCCTCCATCTCGAGAAACCGAAAGGACGGGCCGCTGCTAAAGTCTTGGCCATTGGCCAACTCTTCAAACTTGCCAGCATAAGAAAGACGCCTGAACACCCGCAGCGAAGAACAAATCGCACCAGTAGGTCTCCAGGGCTCGAGGTGAAGGTAGACAGGGGCGTGGCCAGGGTGGAAGTAGAGATCGCTGATATTCCAAGTAGCGGAGCTAACGGGGCTGAAGTCGAGGAGGTCAGCGGTGGGAGCATTGGAGCAGATACGATCCAGGCGAGCGTAAAAGACAAAGGGGTAGGAGAGGAAGTAGTGCGCCTGTGGGTGCCGGAGTCCTGCTCAATCTTTGCGAACCCGCTGAATATAATCCCGAGGGCTGCGGCTAGCCTGGAAGGAAAAGAACGGTCGGTTCCCGTGAGGACGCTCAACCTTGAGTTCCCGATTTCCAGATAGCTGAAATCCCCAAGGATGAAAGAGGAGGAGGAGGAGGAGGAGGAGGAGGAGGAGGAGGAGGAGGAGGAGGTAGAGGAGGAGGAGGAGGGGGGCTGGGAAAGGGCACCTCGAAGAGGCCTGAAAAGATCACGGACCCTGGGATCAGGGAGCTCTGGATCAATGTGTACATTGACAATGATTAACGCCCCTTCGGGTCCTAGGAGCTGGAGAAGCGCCACACGGCCAGGCACTAGTTCACGAAATACATATGAGGAGAATTCACGCTGCAACTGCTGTGAGACAAAGGTAAGCACCCCGCCTGAGTTCGCGGCGCTGCAGAAGGACCCGAATACCGAATGTTGTTTACAATCTCGACGGAGGAGAAGCTGGTCACCCTCGGTTCCGTGAGTCTCTTGTACTGCTCGGATTTCGTTGCGCTGCAGAAGAGAATGCAGAATGTGATGTTTGTGTCGAAGACGTGTTTGGTCAGCATACATAGAGCCAACCTGAGCCTGAGAGTTCCAAGACGAGACGCGGAGCTGAGAGGTGGGGAAAAAGAGCATGGGGTGAGACGGGAAGCTATACGGCTCTCCCGAGACATCTGCAGACGCTGGGGGGGAAGTGGAGGACAAGGAACGAGAGGGGGCGGGAACCAAGAGAGGCTCCCCTGATTCTCCCCGCGCTTGCGGAAACAACAGTGGCAGCGCGGAAGACAACACTGGATGATCATCAGGACCTGAGCGACTTTTCCCGAGCTCGAGGTCAACTAAAAAGAAACCGAAAAGAAGGCTCACTAGGGGGATCGTCCCTCTCCTGAGCGCCGGCCTGCTTGAAAACCCTTCAGAGGTCCTCGAGAAGCGTCTGCGCCTGGTCGTCCGTGATGCCCCAGTGGTTCAGCGCGGACCTGTGCGGCTCGAAAACGAAGTTGATGCCAGTGCCCTGCTTCGCAGAGACCAGCTCGTAGACGTCGGAGTCGGTGACCACCTGCAAGACTCCCTTGTGGCCGGTGACGCCCAGCAGTTTCACTTGTCGCTCTTCATGAGGAGCTGCTTCGTACCGACGTAAATGCTTGAGAAGGCCCTCTTCTTCTGTCTCACGTGGAGCGGCAAGCCGCCCCTGATCCTCAACGGGTGGATGGACTGGTCGCCGAAGTCTTGCCATGAGAGCCCGATGGCATTCGCCTTCTTCTGGAAGGCAGCGACGGTGTCAGCTCTGAGGAACTTCAGCTTGTATACCTGAAAAATACCATGATATTGAACTTCCAAACTTTTGGCGTCGCCAAGCTCATCGGGGAACCTCGTCATCATCTGTTCGAAGTGGGTTTCACGCGTTTTGAGCAAGACTGGCCGCGGGAACGTGCCCACGAGTTTGACACACGGGTCGCCTTGCTCGAAGTCGTGGGTGAAGTCGGCGGTGGTGTCGACTCTTCGGCTCTTGGCACCACCCATACCAAAATACCGAAAGGATGCTGTAGACGCTCCACTCGATGCTGCACTCGTGTTCGACTCTACTTTTCCCAATCGGAGTTCTTGCGCTTGAAGTGAGGCACGTAATGCAGCATGTTCAGCACCTTGTGCGGTGATCTGCCCCTGAAGTCCAGCTGTGGCACTGGCTACTTCGCTCTTCACTGTGACCTTGATGGCTCCGGTCTGCTCGAACATCAGAGAGCACAGCAGGTTCTTCAGCTCATCGGGGACAGCCATGACTGTGGGGTCGCCGCGGCGAAGAGAGAGGTGAACGGGTGAGGCCTGCGGGGCCGCCTGTCGACCCCAGAAGATTGGTGTTGCTCGAACCCCCCTCGGCAGCGCCAAGTTCGAAGCGCCAGGGACACACGTTTCGAACTTGAGTCAAAATGGCTACGGAAGGAGGAGGAGGAGAAGGAGGAGGAGGAGGAAGAGGATGCAGGTCGGAGGAGGCGGCGAAGGAGCAGGATTGCGGGCGAGGCGCAGCCCTCCCCCCCAAGGCCCCCCCCCCAGCGGCCCGCGAGGCCGCGGGGCCGCGAGGAGCGGTGCCCGCGCGAGGAGAGGCCGAGGCGGCCGCTGCTCGTCCGGGCCCGCCGCGGCGCCGCCCTGGCTCGGCGGGGCATCCGAGGGGCGCCGCCTGGGGCCGCCCGCGGCGAGGGGGGACCCCATCGAGAGCCTCGAGCTCCGCCTCGTCGTGGGCCCCCCGCCGCCTCGGGCCTCGCATCTCGGGCCCTGGACCTCCCCCCCCCCCACTCCCTCTGGGCCCTCGTGCGTCGCCCCCTTCCTCGAGCCTCGAGCCTCGCTCCTCGTTCACACCTCGGGGGTTGCCAGGCGCCCGGATCTCCTGGGGCTCCCTGAAGTTCTGGCAAGCTTACTTGCATGAAAAGCGGGGCATGGCGAGGCCCAAGCAGAAATCTGGACTTCGTGCAAATCGGGACTCAATTGCACGCCTTTTCGGCCCAGCGCTATTCGAAAAAACGGCGGAGGGGCGGATGGGGGGGGGGGGAGAAATGTCATGCAAAGAAGCTCGCTTGAGTCTGCAACAAAACACGGCCTCTTGGCACTACGACGCGGCCGTGACGTAGACGCGAAAAGATGCCGCACTATACCTGCCTTCTCGTCTGCAGCTCGGCCGGGCTTGAGCACCAGATATCTGGGCGGCGGAAGGGGGGGTGGAGGCCCCCGCCGCTCCAATCTCCGACAATCTGGTTCCTGCAATCAGGATGCTTTTCCCCGATGTCGAGCCCCAGGGGCCATCAGAAGTGGGACCAGGACGACAAAAACTACACGTCGTTCATTTCTAATCGTGCTCATGTCTAAGTGTGCTCGTTTCAAAGTGTTCCTGGCCCCCTAGTGGCCAGGAACAGGCCCAGGATAGAACAATTAGAAATGAAAGGACCTTGGCCCAAAAAAAATCAAAGAAACCTCAGAATACTTAGGAATGAACAGTGTGTACCCCCAGGGAAGCGGTCGGAACGTCTGAGGCTGCAGATGGAAAAAACTCATGGCGGCGAAGGTCAAAGGGTCTCGAGACGACTGCATGCGTCTTTCAATCTGGAAGTGTGTCTCTGATCTCGGCCTTTGGGGATCGTTTTCGGGCCCTGGCGCCAGCAAACACGGATCCAGGACGACAAACTTACCACAGGGAAAGGGTCGGAACAGCTTGGGCCGCGCATTGAAAAACATGTCGCCGTACCAGTCCACATCCACGCTCCACATCCTGTCTCTCTCCTGCCTCCTTCGCCTCCACCTCTCTCCTTCCTTCATACCTTGTCCGCCTCCTCCTCCTCGTCCTCCTCCTCCTCCACCTCCACCTTCCTCCTCCTCCATCATGATCGTCATCATCATCATCAGCATCATCATCAGCATCAGCATCGTCATCATCATCAGCAACACCAATAATAAAACCACCAGCAAAACGTCATCAGCATCAGCATCAGCATCATCATCAGCATCATCATCATCAGCATCATCATCAGCATCATGATCATCATCGTCATCATCATCACCACCATCATCACCAATCTCGTCAACCTAATCAGCATCAGCGTCAGCATCATCATCACCAGCAGCATCATCGTCAGCATCAGCATAGTCAGCATCATCGTTACCATCATCATCATCATCACCACCATCAGCAGCATCATCAGTATCATCACCACCACTACCATCATCATCATCATCATCATCATCATCATCATCATCAGCATCAGCATCATCATCATCATCATCATCATCATCATCATCCCCATCAGCATCTCCATCATCGTCATCAGTATCAGCGGCATCATCATCATAACCATAATCAGCACCAGCATCATCACCATCACAATCATCATCATAATCATCATGATCATCTGCATAGTCATCATCACCAGCATCCGCATCATCATCGTCATCATTTTCATCGTAAGCATCATACTCAGCATCATCGTTACCATCACCATCATCATCATCATCATCATCATCACCATCATCAGCAGCATCATCATAATCAGCATCGCCACTACCATCATCATCATCACCATCATCGTCATCGTCATTACCATCGGCAGCATCATGATAACCATCATCAGCATCAGCATCACCACCATCAGCATCATCATAATCAGCATGATCATCAGCATCATCATCATCAGCATTAGCATCAGCATCAGCATCATCATCATCGTCATCGCCATCAGCAGCATAATCATAACCACCATCAACATCAGCATCATCACCATCAGCATCATCGTCATAATCATCATGATCATCCGCATCTTCATCATCATTATCAGCATCCGCATCATCATCATCGTCATCATCCTCGTATTCAGCATCATCGTTACCATCATCATCCATCACCATCATCAACAGCGTCATCAGTATCAGCACCACCACTACCATCATCATCATCATCATCATCATCATCATCATCATCATCATCATCATCACCATCATCGCCATCATCGTCATCATCATCATCAGCAGCATCATCATAACCATCATCAGCATCAGCATCATCACAATCAGCATCATCCTCATAATCATAATGATCATCAGCATCATCAGCATCATCCTCATCAGCATCAGCATCATCATCAGCATCATCATCCTCGTCATCGTCATCGTCATCGTCATCGTCATCATCAGCATCGTCATCTTCATCGTTATCATACCGGATAGTCCTCATCTCCCTTCTAAGCCCTGCCCGCCTTCTCTCCTCCCTCGGCTCATCCTCATCCTGTTCATCACTGTTCTCCTTCTCGCAGAACGATCAGACCTGCCAAAAGGGCAGTCCGGTACTGATCGGCCGAGACGTTCTCTTAACACTCCTCTGGATTACCCTTACTTTCAACAGTTACTCAAATTGAGATCAAAGTTGTAAATGGGCTCTCATTTGTCTGCTGATGCCCCTCCCCTTCCGTTCTCCTTCCCTCACTCCACTGGGGTTCATCAGGAAGAAGGAAGGGAATTAAAGGAAGAGGAGAAGGAGGAGGAGGAGGCGGAGGACGAGGAGGATGAGGAGGAGGAGGAGGAGGACGAGGAGGAGGAGGAGGAGGAGTCTCGAACCGTCCCCATCCAGATGCTCGTCGGAGGTACCTCATTGACGAAAGGTTGTTGACAGTCTGCCTCAAAACATTCATCACAAACACACCCATTTGGCGTATTTCTCACAGACGCACAACCGTCTGCCGCACCATCAGCAGTGACTCAAGATGTGTGTCTGTCCAATGAAGTTCTGCGAGCTCTGTGAGTTCGCGACTCGCGGCCCAGCACCGCTCATCAACCAGCCTCGCCGTAGTGGCCGCGCCTTTTCCGTGCTCCCCTCTGTGTCTGGAGCCATCTTGCTGCCGTCATCTACTCAGTAGACACATACGATAAGAAATCTTGCCATAAGAAATCGAGGGGCACGTTTGTCGTCGGGCTTGGAGCTCGCTGAGGTCCGCCAGGGCGTCGGTTGGCCCCCACGGCCATCGGGGGATTAGAAACTTCCGAGGGTTACTCATGTAACGTGCCTCCTGCATTCTTCGGAAACTGTAGCTACACACCGCCACCACACCAGGCCATGGCCGTCCTTGGCCTTGGAACAGTGTATTCACCAATCTGATGGCCTCGACCAGGCGGGTCCATGCACCATCCTAGCGCCCACACTGGCCCAGGTCAGCGATGGTGGCGTATAGCTACCATCCGTGGGTATTCGACGGCGGCCGGGAAAGCCGAAAGAATCAGAAGGAAGCGGCAACTCCTCAGCACCGGCGCCCGCTGAACCAGGAAGACGGCCAAGAGCAGGGCGCACTGCGCCTGGCTTCGGAACGGCGGGGGGGGATCCTCAACTTACGTGTTCGACCATGCACCGCTTGCTGCCTTCGGCCGCCTTCGGCGGTCGTTGGAGCTTCCTTGGGGTATTCTGCGTGAGCGATGGCCGAATTCAACGCGGGCGCCATGATCGAACACCGAACGCAGTGAATCACTCGTCCCCACGCCCAAGGGGGAGAACATGGAAGAAATGGGGGGAATCACCGCGCTGAGGCCTGCGGCCTGATTTTCCGAGAGCGCCCTCGTGGGCCGAGAGACAGTCAGAACGTCCCCTCAGAGATGCGCCCCTCGGACCGTTTCGGGACGACTGGCCTCCAGAGTGCCTCAACACGTGCCGCCCCTGCGGAACATCGTCAGCGGACTCGTTCCCGTTTCGGGACGCCCCCAGTACCACATCCGCAGAATTACAACGGGTCTCCCTGGGGGCTCTATGCGTGGGACCCGCCCTTGCACAGAACAGGTCAAATGGAACGTGGCAGTGCAGGCGCGGGCTCGAGAGTTCCAGCCAGTAAGGAGCGTAACCTTTGAGACCCGCCCCTGCTGGGAAAATCCCATAGGAAAACGGCTCAGCAGATGCGGAGGTGTCTGATATCTCGCCTCGACTCCCTGCATTAATACAGCCAGGCCTAGGACAGAAAAACATCCTGCAAGAAAATGAAGCACTCCGCCAGCCCAAACTGGAGAACATTCGAGGGTGCCCTCCCCAATGATGCACCAGCACATTCATCAAACACGAAGAACATCAGGGACTAGGTTACCCTCCCCGAACAGACCTCGATCTTGTACCTCTGTCCGACCGCATTCTTGCAGCACCAGGCGTCGGGACTACCCAGGAGCTGTGGCAGTGGGAAGCCCCGGTGTGCATGTGTGGCAGCACCGAGGCGCGCGGGGGTGGGGCCTGGTTGGGACGCACAAAGACACACTAGTACTATGTGTCCTCCTCGGAGGCGCGCGTCCGACACGACCATATCGTATCCGCCGGCCCCCTTGTGGGGCCACCAGGCTGTAGGACGAAGTGTGCTGCTCCCTGCACCAGTTTCAGGTTCAAGTCTCCAATGTTACAGTCCTGATTCCTGCTTCCTACTGTAAACTGTTGAAATCCGCAGGAGGGGGAGGGGCCCCAAACCGCCACGCCCAGATCGCGTTGCCTGAGTTCCCAGGGGGGCGTGGGACACATAAGAATTCTTGAGATTCGCGCCACCGAAGCCATAATCCCCATTGAATTACACAAGATTCGCGTCCCCGAGGCCATGATCCAATGACAATTATGCTATAGTCGCGTCCCCGAGACCATACACCCTCGCAAATTACGCCATATTCGCATTGCCGAGGCCAAGAGTGCTCCAAGGAGCCCGAAGATGGTTCCAAGAATGCCCAAGAGGGCCCCAAGAGGCCCTAAGCGCGCTCCAAGAGGCCTCCTGAGAGATCCCCAAGAGGCCCAAATCGTCGATGTTACAAACAAGTTTTGAAGGATTGTGACCTTCTCGCATGTTCGGCTTTCCGACGCTCCAAGACGGCTCAAGAAGCTCCCAAGACCGCCCCCAGACAGCCCAAGAGGGCCCAAAGACGGCCCAAGAGGGCTCCAAGATGGCCCAAGAAGCGCTCAAGACGGCCCAAGAGAGCTCCATGACGGCCCCAAGAGGGGCCCAAGCAGGGGACCACGAACCGGAAATGTTAGATCTGTGCACCGAGAAGCCCCCAGGAGGCCCCAAAAGGCCGCCAAGAGGCCCCAAGAGGCGCTTAAGACGCGCCCAAAAGGCCTCCAAGAGGCCCACAAGATAAGCCACGAGGCTCCAAGAGGCCCCCAAGAGGCGCCCAAACCGCCTCCAAGAGGCCCACGAGAGGTTCCAGACGACACCCCAACACATATACAAGAGGCCTTAGACCCACAAACGGTGGCCGGATGGGCAGAAGGCTACTAGGATCCGCCACCCCCTATCGCTTGCAAGAGGGGTGCCTGGCGAGCTGAATCCTCTCGGTTTTGGTTTTGGTTCTTTTTCCAAAAGAACTCTCCCTGGGGCTTCGGCGCGTCCCGCCGGCCACCCGAAAGGATTGCCCAGACCCTTCCAGAGGTGGTTACCGAGGGTTTTCTTGCTCCAGATGGCTCCACGACGGCCCAAGACGGCCTCCAAGATGGCTAAGATGGCCCCAAGATGCCTCCGAGACGGCCCAAGATGCACCCAAGACGGCCTGAGATGGCCTCAAGATGGCCCAAGAGGCCCCCAAGAGGCCTCCAAGACAGCCCAAGAGGCCTCCAAGTGGTCCTCCAGAAGGGGCCAAAAGGTCAAAATTATGGTTTTTCCTTTGGTTTTTGAAGGAGTGCGACATCTACCTCTTTTCGGCCTCCCGACGGCTCAAGACGGCCCAAGCGGCCCCCGCGATCGCCCAAGATGGCCCCAAGATTCCTCCAACACGGCCCAAGATGCACCCAAGACGGCCTGAGATGGCCTCCAGATGGCCTAATACGGCCCAAGAGGCCCCCAAGAGGCCTCCAAGACGGCCCAAGAGGCCTCCAAGAGGTCCTTCAGGAGGACCCGAAGAGGCCAAAATCATTGACTGTCCTCAGGTTCTTGAAAGATTTGGGCAGTTGCTTCTTTTCGGCATTCCAACGGCTCAAGACGGCCCAAGAGGCCCCAAATATCGCCCACGAGGCCCTCTAGATGGCCCCATGTCGGCCCAACAGGCCCCCAAGACGGCTCCAAGAGGGCCCAAGGGGCCTCCAAGACGGCCAAAATGGCTTCCAAGACGGCTAAGATGGCCCCAAGATACCTCCAAGACGGCCCAAGATGCACCCAAGACGGTCTGAGATGGCCTCAAGATGGCCCAAGACGGCCCAAGAGGCCCCCAAGAGGCCTCCAAGACGGCCCAAGACACGTCCAGGAGGTTTTCCAAGAGGGCACGAAGAGGCCAAAATCATTGACTGTCCTCAGGTTTTTGAAAGATGTTGGCAGTTGCTTCTTTTCGGCATTCCGACGGCTCAAGACGGCGCAAGAGGCCCCCAAGATCGTCCAAGAGGCCTCCAAGATGGCCCCATGACGGCCCAAAAGGCTTCCAAGACGACCCCAAGAGGGCCCCAAAACGGCCCAGGAGACCTCCAATACGCCCAAGATGGCCTCTAAGAACCCCTGATATGCTCCAAGAGGGCCCCAAGACAACCCAGACAGGCCCCCAAGACGGCTTCCGACGGCGTCAGACAAGCCAGAAACGCCCTAAGACGGCCAAAGAGGCCCCCAAGAAGCCTCCAAAGGACCCCCAAAACCATCCAAGAGGCCCCATGAAGCTCCCAGGAGGCCCCAAGAGTGCCCCAAGAGGCGACCAAGAGGCCTCCTCCCCTCTTTTTTCATCATCCTCCCCCTCCTCCTCTTCTTGTTCCCCCATGCTTTCCAAACCGACTCGGGGAACAACTGGCCCGATAGATTGGCCAAGCTCTGGCCCAGCTGTCGGCCACGCAGGCGCTTCCAAAAAGGCAGGGGGCGGCGGTGATTCGCCGTAGGCGTCTTCGATCCGCCGCCCCCTGTCGATTCGTCGCAGGGGTGCCTGGCGTGCTAGACCATTTTGGTTTGGGTTTTGGTTTTTTCCAAAAGAACTCCCCCTGGGCCTCCAGCGCGTCCCGCCGGGGTCCCGGAAGGATTGCCCAGACCCAGCTCCAGACGGCTCCAAGACTACCCATGATGGCCTCCAAGACGGCTAAGATGGCCCCAAGATACCTCCAAGACGGCCCTAGAGAGAAGGCAATGCCTCTAAGTCCGCCCAATAAACCTCCAAGACGGCCCAAGACGGCCCAAGAGGCCTCCGAGAAGTCTTCCAGGAGGGCCCAAGACGGCCCCAAGAGACCCCCAAGACAGCCCAGGAGGCCTTTAAGACGCCCAAGATGGCCTCCAAGACGACCCTGGAGCATTCCAAGAGGGCCCCAAGTCAGCCCAGAGAGGCCCCCCAAACGGCTTCCGACGACGCCAGACGGACCAGGAGCCCACCAAGACGGCCGAAGATGGCTCTACGATGGCCCAAGACGGCCCAAGAGGCCTCCAAGAGGGCCTCCAGGAAGGCCCGAAAAGGCAAAAATCATTGATTTCCCATGAGTATGTGAAGGATTGTGGCACTTGCTTTTTTTCGGCCTTCTGACGGCCCGAGACGGCCCAAGTGCCCCCAAAGATCGCCCAAGAGGCCCAAGACGGCCCCAAGAGGCCCCAAAGACGGCCCAACAGGCCTCCAAGACGCTCAAGATGGCCCCCAAGACGGCCCAAGAGCCCTCCAAGACGTCCTCCAAGAAGGCCCGAAAGGGTCAAAATGGCCTCCAGACGGCCAAGATGACCTTCAAGATGCCCACGTGTTCCCCGAAGGCTTTCCAAACCGATTCGGGGAACACATGGCCCGATAGCTTGGCAGGTCTCGCCTCAACGTTCGGCCACATAGGCGCTTCCGAAAAGGCAGGGGGCGGCGGTGACTCGCCATAAACGTCTTCGATCCGCCGCCCCCTGTCGATTCATCGTAGGGGTGCCTGGCGTGCTGAACCCTTTCGGTGTTGGTTTTGGTTTTTTCCCAGAGAACTCCACCTGGGTCTCCGGCGCGTCCCGTTGGGGTTCTGGGACGATCTTCAAGGAGCTCAATTCCCAAATGTTTCGCTCAAGATGGCCCAAGATGGCCTTCAAGAAGCCTCCAAGACGGCCTCCAAGACGGCTACGATGGCCCCAAAATGCCTCCAAGACGGCCCAAGATGCACTCAAGACAGCCTCAGATGGCATCAAGATGGCCCAAGACAGCCCCAGGGGCATCCAAGAGGCCTCCAAGAGGCCTCCAAGAGGTCCTCCACGAGGGCCCCAAGAGGGCCCCAAGTTGGTTTAGAGAGGCCCCCAAGACGGCTCGACGCCGTTAGACGGGTCAGGAACGTCCTAAGACGACCAAAGAGGCCCCCAAGAAGCCCAGGGAGGCTCCCAAGAGGCATCCCAAGAAGCATGCCAAAAGGTTCCCGAGAAGCTCCGCAGAGG